CCTCGCGGTCCAAGCCCTGGCTCAGGCTTGGCCTCCCTCGGTTCCTGGCCGGCATCTCTAGTGGTCTGTTTAGCGGTGTTGATAAGGCAGAGGAAAAAAAAGTTGAAGGCGGAGATAGTTACCGAGTGGTAACAATACCGCGTATTGCATTTACCACCCCACGTCATTCGCTTGCTCCTTCCTCTCTTTCCTCTTCACAACAACAACATGCGCCATGGGGAACACCAGCAGTTCGCACAAGATCTCGGACCAGGACCGGTGAATGACTTCTGGCGCAGAATCACAACTTGAACCCTCTATTGATCATCATCCAACAGAGCAATCCTCGAAATCAAGAACAAGCGCGATAAGGTCCACCAATATCAGCGACGCATCACCTCCCTGACCCAGCGCGAAACCGAAATCGCCAAGGAATGCCTGGCGCGCAATGACCGACGCCGGGCCCTGCTAGCCCTGCGGCGCAAGAAATACCAGGAGTCGCTGCTCGCCAAAACAGACAGCCAGCTCGCGCAGCTGGAGCAGCTGGCCGGCGATGTCGAGTTTGCGCTCGTGCAGAAGGATGTGCTGTACGGCTTGCAGCAGGGTAATCAGGTCTTGCGGGCGATTCACAAAGAGATAGGTGGGATCGAGAGTGTGGAGCGACTGATGGGTGAGACGGAAGAGGCACGCGCGTATCAAGAGGTAAGAAAGATACTACACTGGGTTCATTTACCGAGCAGCCTGACTGACTAAATGTTTTTTCTCTCTCAGGAGGTGAGCCAGATGCTAGCAGGCCATTTGTCGAACCAAGACGAAGACGAGGTCGAGGATGAATTGGAGGCACTCCAGAGCCAGGTTGCGCCGCCCGTGAAGATGCCCGAGGCTCCGACAGGCGAATTGCCTCCTGGACAGGTGTACGAGGAGGAGCCGACTGCAAGCGAAAGGGCCAAAGCCAGAGCCAAGGCCCGCGCCGCTGCTGCGCCTTTGGCAGCATGATTCGATTTTGGACATTACACCCACACTTTTATACATAGCAGAGCATTGTTCGGCGTTGGTGGCTTGTGGAAATGATTGTTGTTGTTCATCTATTCATTGATTCATTCATGCACTAGGTTTCACGTAATACAATTGAAGTTATCTTTCGCTCTCGTCTGATCATCTTGGTGTGTCCTCTCCATCTGAGGACCCTGGTGGTTACAATGCACTGCTTCTCTCAGAGAATCCTGCTCCCAACGCCACTGACACCAGGAATGGCCACATGGTCATTAGGATTAGCAGCAGCTTCGTATAAAAAGCTAACGGGTTCGCGATTCAACGCCATAAACTGGCCTTTGAACCCAATGTAGCCCACCTTCGTGACGTCCTCTTCCCCGTCACTCCAATTATCCTCGATAAAGATCGTGATGGACGTGGTCGTGTTCCAGTGCGCGCGATTGAGAGGCAGCTCGAAGACGTCCGCCCCGGGAACCGGCTGTGGCATTTCAATGGTTTGGGTCGGGGTGAGCTCCGAGGCGGTTGAAAAGTCTAGGTCGTCGCGGTTCTTGAAGAGCTTGAGGGTTTTCGGCGCGGAGGGTGTGGGCGCGGTGTAGAAAAGGAGAGAGTGTACTTTGACTTGGCCGGTGAACCTGGCATTCGGTGGTTAGATATGTACATGTCGCGAATGACGGGCATCTGGAAAAACGTACGGGATGTACATGAGTAGCTGCTCGTCTGCGTCGCTCTCGAGTTCGGGCTCGTCGTTCAATCTCTCGGCCCAAGTTTTCTTAACAATGGCGGCGCCAGCCTTGGGGGTGGCCTCTTTTTTTCCAGTCAATATACGGAGAAAGGATCAGATGCTGTCGGCCGTACCGTTGAGTGTGTTAATGGAATCAAAGTCGATCTGGGAGTAGAGAAGAGACTGGACGGCAGGAGTGATGTCGTTGGAATGATCATGGCCATCTTCGTCATGGCAGTGGCCGCCATGGCCGTGGTCATGGTGGTGGTGGCCAGACATAATAATACGTATGGTTGGTGAGTCGAAGAAGTGGAAGGTCGATGATCCCGCAGATGATCGCCCGCTTCCCGTGACGTCGGTTGTTGACTACATCCGAAAACTACATGGTAGCTATCTTCTAGAACATTTTATATGGGTCATGGTCATTGTTCGTGATTACACCGCTACGGCGAATGATGCGGTAAAGGGTGCTATGTTTCGTGGATAAACAGCTCATCTTGGGTCCGGCCACCCAAACCAGCTGGAGACGAAGATACAATGCTAGCTAACAGAATCCAGCCCCCAAGTCCAGTGCAGGAAGCATCAGTGTCCTTGGACAACGACCAGTGACTTTGTGTATTTCCGTAGATCTTCAGGGGGTTTCATGGTGTTTTTTGTCGTCCAAAATGTGCATAAATATACCGCGAGACCGAAAGGTGCCAAACGCAGAATTCCAGCTCTAAAGGGTAATTTTCACGGTTGCCATTTTAACAAAAGCATCATCTAAGCCACCTCAATCTCCTGCTTGTGAGTGCAGGAGTTGAGTGCTACCTCGCACTGGACTGACGTCTTGCCGACTTGAAGGTAGAGTGCCGATTCAGAGCGATCTCGCCTCCGACTCGCCATTGTAAGAGTCACAGACGGAGCCCCTTGTCTTCATGTCAGGGCCGTTGGAAAGTTCGTTGGATATTCAAGGTTGTTAGAGTCTCCCACGGATCAAGTCACTCTGTAATACTCGGGTGCATATTCCAGCAGGTAACTCTTCTCGATCTTCGTGACGTCCCGAATATATGTCTTATCGCCAGTCTGCATGATTTCGTGGAAGATGACCCAGTCTGCCTTGCGGTTCTAATAACAACAGTCAGCCAAAGCAGGACCGATGGGAGGGAGAAGCACTTACAAACATCAACGAGGTAGGGTGAGCATGAAGAGTGAGTCCTCCGCTGACGGTCTTAAAGGTTCCATCCGGTTGCATCTTGGCGGCATGGGCAAAATAGCCCGTTGTTAGACACCGCTGGATCTGCTCAGGTTGCTTGCTTGGATCAACGGCCCGGTGTGTGGACAGTGTTTCATCGACCTGAATACCAAACCGCTCCAGGTACCGTTTCAACTGCCCACGGATGCTCACAGCACGCTGCAGCGATTGGTAGTTAAGAAGGTTGTCACGGCACCACTTGGAGTCCTTTTTCCCCTTGGTAACGAATGCTTGATAGACGTTGAGATAGGTCAAATGATCGCCTTCTTCGACTGCGAATTTCCGACGATTGCTTTCGGCGGACCGCTTGTCGCCCTCATGCTGTACCCACACAGTCCCTTGGAGACTGACCATGGCAGCTATCGAAAGAATTTCAGTCAAGCAGCCAAAGGATGGTGCAGCCAGCAAAACTTTGCCCATCATGGGATCCACTGCGAGTTCCGCCATCCGGATGCCGAGCGGCTTGGTGAGTTTGGCGTAATCGTCCACCGCGCCGAGGGAGAAAAGAAGCTCAAAAGCACGGATGACAAGCTCCGCGGGAGGAGAAGTCAAAAAGTCAAATCGGACAATGTTGTCGATGCCCAAGGCCTTCAACTGCATGATGACAGGGGCCAGGTTTGACCGTTGGATCTCCGGGACCGTGGCTTCGGGCAGCTGTTCGTATGCCTGCTGAGTATAGAGACGAAAGCATTTGCCCGGCTTGGTTCTTCCCGCCCGGCCAGATCGCTGAGTGGCGGAAGCTTTCGAGATGGGCACAGCAGTCAACGTTTCGATGCCAGTACTAGGATCGTACGCCCTCAGTTTCGCGAAGCCACAATCAATCACGTATACAATTCCGTCAATGGTGACCGAGGCCTCCGCGATGTTGGTTGAAACGATGACCTTCCGGGTATTATCCGGTGCTGGTTCAAAGACATACATCTGCTGATCCGTCGAAAGGCCGGCGTAGAGAGGCAAGGGAAGTAATGAAGGCGCCTTTGGGTGGAGAGTGGCCGCACGCTCCGATATCGCCTGAATCGCAGTATCGATCTCTTCTCGGCCCGTCAAGAAAATTAAGATGTCCCCTTCTGCCTCTTGAGAATGTATGTCGAAGACTGTGTTGATGGCTCGTTCGACGTAATTTTCCGCAGGAGACTCAAGGAATAGCATGTCAACCGGATACATTCTGCCCTCTAGGCTAATGATCCTGCCAACACTTCCACCCATATCAGCTGGCTCTGCATCGGGCCTGTACTCATCGTCGGCAAAGAAGCGCAGAAAGTCTTCGGCCTGCAATGTCGCGCTACTGACAATAATCCGAAGCTCGGGCCGCTTCTTTAGGATTTTCTTCAGGATGCCCAGGAGAACATCGGTGCTCAGAGATCTCTCATGCGCCTCGTCCACCATGATCACAGAATAGCGCGAAAGGAGAGGATCCACCAGAGCTTCTCGCAGCAACATTCCATCCGTCAAAAATTTGATGCGGGTTGCCGCAGAGGTCAAGTCTTCAAAGCGGATGGAGTATCCCACCTCTTCGCCAACCTTGCAACGCATCTCCTCTGCCACTCGCTTTGCGACAGTCGTGGCAGCTACCCGGCGAGGCTGAGTTTGTTGGTATTAGCTTGCTGCATCTTATCTTCGTAGATCCGACTTACCTGTGTTACTGCAATAGCTTTCCCATATTGACACCATCCGGCCTGGTCGAGGTACTGGGGCAGCTGGGTGGTTTTCCCACTGCCCGTCTGTCCCACGACTATGGTGACTGGGTAGGTCTCGACCAGATACTGCAAGCTTTGTTTGTGGCGTGCAATTGGCAGCAATACAGCAGGCTTGTACAGTGCCGGGATAAAGGAGGAGGACAGATCCAGCTCCGAGGCCATTGTGAGATCATGCTGTGTGTGTCCATACGAAAGAGAGAAAGAAAGAAAGTTGCTCCTTCCTATCCCGAACAGGCAAGTGGCTCATCACGTGCCACCCCACGTCACTGATTGGAGCTTCCTTCCCTCGTGATTAATTGTTCCTGCTGCCTGTTTAGTTCTCTCTTTCTTCCATCGCTCTCACTCGCCTGTTCTTTATCTTGGATTCAGCTACAAGATGTCAGAGGAAGAAAAGACTGTACGTTCTAGATTTCCCCCATCCCCGCCTGTAGCCATGGTGGCTTACTTCTGGCCAGCCTTCAACGCCCAACAAGGCCATCGCCGCGCTCAGCACCAACAGCCCTCGCGCCGAGTCGCCGACGACTGCTCGCCCGCTCAACTTCGATGATGAAGAGCCCCAGGAAAGTGGAATAATATCTACAGCGACAGGATCTGTCCCGCAGTCTGACCCCGAAACTGCCCCGGCCCCCCCACCAAAGCCCCCTCGGCCCTTGAGCCCGCGCGAGCAGTCGGAGCTCACCCTCAAGGAAGCTTTCCCGTCTCTCGATGGTGCTGTAGTCAAGGCAGTGCTGGTGGCAAGCAATTGGCATGTCGAACGAGCCTTCAACGCTCTTCTGGGTTTGTGGCGACTTGGTTAAATGCAGCAGCAATGGCGCTAACCGTCTCACCGTAGGTATGACCGATCCCACGGCCCAAGAAGATATGGTCCCTCCCCCGAAGCCGCCCCGTCCAGATCAGCCCCCCACCACCACCGACTGGAGACAAGTGGAAGCCGATGAACGGTATGCACGCCAACTCGCCGAGCACTACAACTCCTCCCGCCGGGGGCCCCGTCCAGGGTGGGAGAGTGACCCGCGGTATCAGCGCCCCAGAGGTAGCGAGGAGGATGAAGAGAGAGACTACAGCTTTTTTGATGGTAGGGCGCAATGCGCACCCTTTTCTAGACCACGCAGAGCTGATAGATGTTGACGGTAGATGATCTGCCCGTGATCCGGGAGAATATCAAGAAAGGCTTCTTGGAGACACAGACCAAGGTCAACTCGTGGGTTGCGAATTTAAAGAAGAGAATTGACGGGGAGGATGTGGACGAGGAGGACGACGGCTACTCTGCGCCGCCCCAGACATATGGTCGCCCACGGCGCAGTGGCGACATGGGCCGTCGCAGCGGAGATCGCGAACATTATGATGCAGATCCTCAGGTGCTAGGCGATGATTTTTCAGCGCTTGAGCTGAGAGACTCAGAGGGTAAGCACTGGTTGACTGTTTCTCCATGTCCCGCTAACACAATCCCAGCTCCTCCCACGCGCCCACCCCGTCCTGGGGCCAACTCCGGTTTCCACAAAGCGCCTTCCCCATCGCCAGACCGACGCAAAGTGTCTTTCCAGGAGGGTCCGCCCACTGAGATTGATACTTCGGCCGCGCGGCAGTCTTCAACGGGCAACAAGGCGAGCAAATGGCAGCCTCTGTCTCAAGTGGACCCGTCCCCCGTCGCCGAAAATGATCCATTCAGTTTGGGCGACAGTGATGATGAGAAGGACACGAAAACCAAGGAGCAGACCACAGTCCCGGAGAGCGAACAGATCAAGAAAGCCACGGAGGAGGCCATGTCGGGCAACATGGGTTCTTCCAAGGACAGCAAGCCGGACGAGTCTTCGAAGTGATCGTGATCAGCCACCTTGTACCCCCAAATTGCTCCTCTATCCCTACTTCACCTTTGTTAGCCTGAGATGCCCCCCTGTCTGTTGCCTGTCTTGTTGAGATTATGATAGCGAGTAGAAGTAGCCAGCATCTATCCGATTCCAAGTCTACTATCTTCAATCCGTAGACAACACTGTATTTTGTATTCCAAAGAAAAGCAAAGGGTATCTAGCGGCCATCTTGACCTCACAACGCCTGAAACCAGGAACCAAAAACACACCAGGACTTCCAACTCATTACCTCGCGCAAGAGAAAAACCTCCCAATTACTCCGTCACGGCGGGTGCATTCAAGATACCCCGCTTGGAAGCTTCCTTGCGCAGATCCTTGATCACCGTCTAGAGGGACCAGTTAGAAGTGATACAACGAGGATGGCAAGCTACTGACCGCCAAGGCGTCGGGATTGACGCCATTCTCGATCAGAGACACGCAGAGCGACAGCTCCGTGCGGTCGAGGTTGGTATTCTGCGCGTGAATGACAGGGTCAGCGCCGCGCTTGCATGTCCCGCCGCATGGCATGCCACTTACGAGGAGCGTGGAGATCTCGTGAAGAATGTCGATGACCTCGCGCGCGGCTTGGCGCTTGTCATCAGCTTGGGAGGGCATGACCTGATGGTGGTTGATGTTGATTGATGTTGTTGTTGAAGTTGAGTTGATGTGGGGGAGCGGAAGGCGTTGTCACTGGTTGATGGGTTTCTTTTTTTCTGTTCTTCTCAACCCTACACCACCCAGGTACTGCCCGGAATGCCCAACCTGTTCATCTCGGACATTCATTCCTTGAAGAGGAACGAAGCCCTGGATATTCTGGCCCGGATCGCACGCGTCGAGAAGAAGACATTCCCGACCAATGAGGCATTCGGCTTCGGCGAAGACTTGTGGAGAAAGAAGCCCAACACGCGAGTGCTCTACGCCACGGACGGAAGCTCGGACATCATTGCCTATGCCGTCTATGTGCGGCAGAAGGGGGTAGCTCTCCTGCACAAGGTGTGCGTTGTGCCGACCTATCGCCGACAAGGTGTCGGATTGCAGCTCATATCCTTCATTCAACAGCGACTGCGGAAGGAGGGCTGCCAGAGCATCCAGCTCTGGGTGGACCAGGCCAGGGAGCCCGCCCGGGCATTGTATATCCGCTGTGGATTCGAGGAGTGCGAGGTGATCCCTGACTACTACGCCCCTGGGCGCACTGGCATCCGAATGGTCCTTGACCTCGACGAGGAACGTGCCAGTTAAGATCAAGGCCACTTTTCCGGCCCTTGTCCTCTTATGCAGTGTTCCTTGCCTACTCAAGTTTTGGAGGGGGTTAGAGATCATGGTGGTGGTTGGGCATGTCTGTGCTCCTTGGCTGCCACAGGAGTATCCCTTGCTAAGCCTTCGATCCACGAGCCCTACCGGGGCGGGGCCCATTCTCGGCTGTCACTCTGCTACATACTTTGACGTCGCACATATCCAGGTATGGCTTTTTCCAAAGGGCACACCTTGAATATCTCCTTGTCACCGGCCCCCCTGGGCACGCCGAGTGCCAGGGAGGAGTATCCTTCGAGAAGTCTACAGAGCTTAATCTTTACCTTCTGTCTCCTTCCGTCATTTCTTGTCTCTCTCACCCTCTGATTGAAGTTGTCCGGCGTGCATTTTGGTAATTCGTCTGCGCCTCATCACGCTGTGTCTTTCACACAACCCTACACGGTGTTCCGGACGTCATCCGGTCCTCTCAGCCAGAGATGGGGCTTTTCTCTCTCATCATTGCTTTGGCGCTGCTGTCTGCCGTTGATGCAGCTGCTCTATCTGCCAACTACCCGATCAATGCACAACTGCCTCCAGTCGCGCGAGTTGACCAGCACTTTCAATTTGTTTTCGCGCCAAGCACGTTTGCCAACACCGACGCAGACACGAAATATTCGTTAAAAAATGCACCATCATGGCTTGAAGTGGACAGCAGTAGCCGGACACTTTCAGGCACTCCGTCTTCTGATGACACTGGTTCCAAGAAGTTCCAGCTCGTGGGATCAGACGGATCGGACTCAGATAGCATGGATGTCACCCTGATCGTCACGACAGATCAAGGGCCAACTTTGGGGAAGCCACTTATCACGCAGTTGCAGGCCATGGGCCCTGTTTCCTATCCGTCGACTCTGTTCATACAACCTGGGCATGATTTTACCATTTCTTTCGACAAGGACACATTCCAGAACACGCACCCTTCCACAATCTATTACGGAACTTCACCGAATAATACCCCACTGCCATCTTGGATCGAGTTCGACGCTACAGCACTGAAATTCTCTGGGAATAGCCCGTCTTTTCCGGGTTCAAGCTCAGAAGCCTTTACGTTCCAGCTTGTTGCATCGGATGTAGCTGGTTACAGCGCAGTGAATATGACCTTTGAAATCGTGATCGGCCCTCATATTTTGGCGTTCAACGAGACCACCCAGGCCTTCAATCTCACTAGGGGCCAGAAATTCAACAGTCCCAGTTATCGAGATCTTCTTTCGCTTGATGGATCCCCAACATCGAGCCAAGATGTGACGTCCGTGGATGCCGACTTGCCCGACTGGTTAACCTTGGACGAGGTCGCGATCTCGCTCAGTGGCACACCGTCAGATGGTGCTGTGAACCAGAATATCACCATCACAGTAACGGATACCTACCAGGACCAGGCGAAGCTCATGCTTCGGCTTGAATTCCTCGAGCTGTTCCTTGACACGATTCAAGGCTGCGAAGCCACGATTGGCGAGGACTTTACGTTTGTGTTCAACCAATCGATCATCACCGACAACTCCGTGCAGCTTGATGTCGGTCTGCCCCAGCAACTCTCTTCGTGGCTTACCTACGACTCCGGCAACAAGACGCTCCACGGGCACGTTCCTGCGGACGTGCAGCCTCATAACTGGACCATTCCCCTGACTGCGCATCAAGGATCCACCAAGAACACGCGGAACTTTGAGCTTGATATTGTCAAAGCATCGGACAGTCATGATCCTGAAGACCCTTCCACTCCATTTTCCACATCCGCCAGTCCCTCTCACAGAAAAGCCGGGATTATCGCAATCTCCGTTGTGATCCCCATCGTTGCAGTGTTGAGTCTTATGGTTCTCTTTTTTTGCCTGCGTCGCCGCAGAGAGTCGTCTACGGTGGAAGAAGAACTCCCGAAACCGAAAGGATCTCCTCCACCGCGGCCCGTACGTCCGGATGCACCGCTCGCTCATGAAAATACAGCTTTCCGTGAAGACCCTTCCGGGGACGACACTTCTTATGGCTGGTTGAGCTCAACCATCCCTGCTTCCGATCTGCCCAAACTCGAGCTTGGGCCCGCGTGGAACATGGAATCATTTGGGAAAGAGCAGACCCCGATTCCGCAACCACAACCAAGTCCGCCACCTCGTTCTCCTGCCAGAGGTACCTTCCATCCGCTGAGAGACTCGACCGCGGGGGAAGAGAAGAACAGGGCCAGCAATTCTCCCTCCAAGTCTCCTAAGAAGCAAACCCAGCGTCTTTCTTTCAACAACCCTTCTCCCGTGCGCCGTCGCCGCTCCAGTCGACGCGAACCCTTGAAACCGATTCAACCACGGGCTATGAAGCGCGAATCTGTTCAATCAACGCGTTCGAAGCGATATTCCAAGCGGTCTAGTGGAATCTCATCTGTTGCCTCTGGATTGCCGGTGCGACTAAGCGGGGCCGGCCATGGTGCCGGTGGATTTGGACCTCCAGGACACGGCGTGGTGCAGATATCCTGGCAAAACGCCAAAGCCTCCTTCCCCAATGACGAGAACAGCCTGAACAACATTGCACCGCTGTTTCCTCGACCCCCAAATGCCCGGACAAGACACAGCATGGCATCCAGCATCCCAGACCCCACGAAGCGGTTGACGTTGCGTACCGTGGAGCCCGACGACTCGCCCACCTCCGAGGCAGACTCACTGGAGGCCTTTGTGCACAGCCGCGCCAAGAACCGGAACTCGACCAACCCTTTGTTCTCTGGCCAAGTTGACCGCCGCGTCTCCTCCGGGCTGCGCGCCCTCGAGCGAGCACGCAGCCAGCGCAATCGGGCAGACACCGTCTCTGTGTCGACCTTCTCCGATGAATACCGACAATCTATCCAAGAGCGACCTGTCTCGATGGCCATATCGGCCTCTGAATATGGTGGGGAAGACAGCCGCTTCTCTCAGTACCAGAGCCTCCAGCCTCCACCCAATCTACACCCGCTTGCCGAGGGCGCCGAAATGAGTCGCAGCCAGCTCAGCCTGGCACACGACTACCGCGGCGTCATTTCTCCACTCCCTCGATTCTGGAGTGATAATAGTCTGAGCAGCGCCCGCCGCTTGGCATCTGGGAGCCACGAACAGCCCCCGCAGCCCTCGGGGGGAGGAGCGTCCGCCATGCCCCAGAGCTCTTCGATGGTCTCCGATCTCGAGGAGCACCTCTCCCGCAAGGCAAGCCCTCAGAAGAGCAAGAAAGAGGACCGGGGCATGTCACTGGAACCGCCACCTACCCTAAAGAATTTCAGCAGCCAGGGCCTGCCGGTTGCCAGCAGCGGCGAGCTGGCATTTGTGTAATACCTAATACCCCACGTATTTTGATTCGTTTCTAATTGTTTGGCGTTGGGGGGCATTGCGAACATGATATCCATCCATTTTCCTTTCTTGACGGATTTACTCTCTTCATATGACACTAGTTGTATTCGGCCGGAAGACTTTTTTTCCCTTGCAGAGTGCCTGGAGGGTCGTCAGCGCGAGACCGGGGCGAGGTAGATAGGGGGCCTCACTGGTTCTTCTCTGTGGTGCTGGAACGAATCAGCTATTCTAATACTATATGCCTCCTGCACTACTCGTCCTGCATCTTCACTCGTCGTCCCATCGGTCCTCTGTAGTAACGGGGCACGTGACCCTTCACTGGTCAGACTCCCGTAATTCCATTACAGAAATCTCTGCCTGCTGCACTGATAGCGATAGCACATCCCACATTGTTGTTCCTGTGCCTCCCTCTGCTTCTTCCTTACTCTGCCTCCTTCCTCGTCCTGCTTACCTCCTTCGTGTCTTCATCCTCACTCACCTCACGGTTCTTTACCGCCCTCCCCACCGACCCTGCTCTGGTCATTGTGTCCCCACTCCCGATTCCGGCCTTGATCGCGGGAACCAACCGACTACGCGCTGAAGTGCCCTCACCTCACCTGACCCTCTCAACTCTTCTCCTTCTCACCTCTCCCGCTTCCTCCACCGCATTCATTCGGTGCTTTACTCTAATTCCCTTAGAATCATCCCTCCGTCTCGCTTGTCACAATGGGTCAGACTCTGTCGGAGCCCGTGGTTGAAAAGGTCAGTGGGCAAAATTCCCTGCTTTCCCCCACACTGCCATCCTGACGTCGGCTGTCTGCTGGCGCTCGCTGTCCACCACACCACTCCCCTAAATCCCTGCTCAGCGTTGAAGCTTGCCATGGTGGAGAGTCCCCAGTGGGATTCGGCGGCACTGAATTTGTTTTTGCTGGGGTGTTACCGGCTGCCCCGCATGCATCTGCTGTGCTGCTCGGAGGGGCGAAAGGGGTGCTCGAAGGCGATCTCCAGTTAGCACAAGGGGTGGCTTTTCTCATCACATTTGCTACTGAGATATTCTGAATGACGCTGACAGTTGTGGTTTTCTGCTAGACATCGGCCGAGGGCGAAGATGAGTGCTGCGTATACGGTGTCTCGGCCATGCAGGGCTGGCGCATCAGCATGGAGGATGCCCATGCCGCCATTCTGGACATGCACGCAAAGTATTCAGACAACAGTGACGGCAAACCGACGGATCCGGACAATCGTCTCGCCTTCTTTGGAGTGTATGACGGCCACGGTGGAGACAAAGTCGCGTTATTCGCTGGGGAAAATGTCCACAAGATCGTCGCCAAACAGGACGCGTTCGCCAAGGGCGATATTGAACAGGCATTGAAAGATGGTTTCCTTGCTACCGACCGGGCGATCTTAGAAGGTGCGTTGATGCTAGGTGGAGCAGAGGGAAAGAAAACAATCCTGACCCAGCTTCGCGATACAGACCCCAAGTATGAAGAGGAGGTGTCCGGTTGCACAGCCTCAGTCGGCATCATCTCCAAACACAAGATCTGGGTGGTATGTTGTTGCCCTGTTGGAACGGCTCGTGGTCGGGCTGGCTGACATATAATAGGCAAATGCGGGTGATTCGCGGTCAGTACTGGGAGTCAAGGGCCGTGCAAAGCCCCTGTCTTTTGACCACAAGCCTCAGAATGAAGGTGTGTTGTTTCTTGAAAAACACAAGAACTTTGCTGAAGGATTACTCTAGGCGAGAAAGCTCGTATCAGTGCGGCGGGTGGATTTGTTGACTTCGGTCGTGTCAATGGCAACCTGGCCCTGTCTCGTGCACTTGGTGACTTCGAATTCAAGAAGAGTCCTGAGCTGTCTCCCGAGCAGCAGATTGTGACTGCATTCCCCGACGTGACTGTCCACGACCTGACTGACGACGATGAATTCCTGGTGATTGCTTGCGACGGTATGTGATTTGTCTACATTCTCCCGGAACTACTAAAACTAAAATATCACTAGGCATCTGGGATTGCCAGTCTTCTCAAGCGGTGGTCGAATTCGTCCGAAGAGGCATCGCGGCCAAGCAGGATCTCTACCGAATCTGTGAGAACATGATGGATAACTGCCTGGCGTCCAACAGCGAGACTGGTGGTGTTGGTTGTGACAACATGACCATGACCGTCATCGGCCTGCTGAATGGCAAGAGCAAGGAGGAGTGGTACAAGCAAGTCGCGGAGCGGGTTGCGAACGGGGACGGGCCTTGCGCTCCTCCCGAGTACGGCAAGTCTCACGAGGAAGCCGAGGCCGAAAGTCACACTTCGTGCTGACCGTCCACACTTGAGCAGCCGAATTCCGCGGTCCGGGCATCCGCAACCAATTCGAAGACAACCCGGAGGAGTATGATCTGGAGATGGAGCGTCCGCGTGGTTTCAGTGTCCGCTCCGGCCGGATCATCTTGCTGGGGGACGGCACCGAAGTCGTTCCGGATCAGGGCGAGGAGGAGTTGTTTGACCAGACCGAGGAAGACCAGGACTTGGCGAATCAAGTGCACCATGAGACGCCCGATGCCACCCGGAACGAGCGCGAGGAGACTCCCGGTCCTCAAGGGAAGCAGGATGGAGCATCCGCTGCTCAAATATCTGAATCCCCGGCCTCCACCGCTGACGCCGACAAGAAGTCTACGTAGCTGATTTTTTGTTTCTATCTGTTTGGTGTTTTCATTTTTGTTTCCCCCGTGAACGACCCCCGCTACCCTGATTCTACGAACTATGCCCTTTTTCTTTTCCTTTTCCTTTGCTTCGAGAGGGTGTGGGATTACTGTCCGAGTGTGAGAAGGGGGAGAGGACGAGGGTGCGGTGGAGGGAGGAATGTCCATCCATGGGGGTTTTGCAGAGCTCTGCACCCGGGGCAGAGAGGGCATCATGTGTTTTCTTTTCTTTCTTCTTTTATGCCGTCACACCACACACGAGATACCGCAGAAAATGCCCGCTATTGACGAACGATCCATTCTCCTTCCACGACACACCCGGTACAATACGTCCGCACCGTGGGGGATGGTAGAAGTGGATTTTCAGCAGTGGAGTTGGGAAGAATGGGAGTGTAGAGCACGTGTTGAATTAGTTATGCACACGAAGTGCAATTTGCAGAGAGGAAAACAGACTCACCCACAATCTTGCCCCTAGTAATGTGACGAGCACTACCGAGTATTGGGCCCCCGGAGTGAAAATTACCCGCAATCTAACACGGGAATACCCACTTGTTGGATCCTGACACTCGTCATTTTGGGAAGACTATTATTTTCCAACCCTCTCTCTCCTTTTCTTGCCATCCTTCCTTTCCTCCCACCCCGGAGGAATCCACCCATTTTGTGACTCGGGACAATCTATCTATCTGTTCTTGAAAGTTACCGCCCTCCCCTCGGTACGCCCACAGTCCAGCCATGCCGTCACCCCCGTCTCCCTCTGCCAAGCGGAAGCGCGGCAGCTCGCAACACACGCCCGCCCAACTAAAGCCTCATCCATCGGCGACCGAGCTGCAACCCTCCTCGCGCGACGCGTCCGGTGAAGAAGGCGGCGAGGATTCCACCGGCACTGCCAATGTCCCCCCTCCGACAATGGGGACCAAACACAAGAAACAGCAGCCCTCGACGCCGGGGGATGCGGTGCCGCCATCGAAACGTGCCCGCAAGAGCTCCGGCGACGCGAGCCTCCAGTCCTCTTCGACTGTGATGCCCAACGGCGACGCCCAGATCCACAAGGAGGACCCCGGCGAGCCGTCAGAGACCACCGTGGCCAGCAGCGATATTGAGAACCAGCCGAGGGCTCGGCCCGGGTTGCACATCAAGATGCCGACTGAGCAGGAGGCTATCGCACCGCCCCTGCGCGCCGGGCTGCAGGACCCTGTGGGATACCATACCAACCCGCCGCCGACGGGTCGGCCGGTGCGGGTGTATGCGGATGGAGTGTTTGATCTGTTTCATCTGGGGTAAGTCTTTTTTTTATATCGGATGCGAACTTCGTGGTTGCCGGCGATACTAACTGGATGGTTTTTAGTCATATGAGACAATTGGAGCAGGCGAAGAAAGCTTTCCCCGATGTTTTCCTCATTGTCGGAGTCACGGGTGACGAGGAGACACACATGCGCAAGGGTTTGACGGTGCTCAGCGGTGCAGAGCGTGCCGAGACCCTCCGTCATTGCAAATGGGTGGATGAGGTGATTCCCAACTGCCCGTGGGTTGTGACGCCGGAGTTTCTGTCGGAGCACAAGATCGACTACGTCGCCCACGATGACCTGCCCTACCAGGCAGCTGAGGGTGATGATATCTACGAGCCTATCAAGGCCCAGGGCAAGTTCCTGGTGACCCAGAGAACGGAGGGAGTCAGCACCACCGGCATCATCACTCGGTATGTTTCTGCGTCTCTACTTCCCTCCCAACTTGTCTAACATACATCAGAATCGTCCGAGACTACGACCAGTACATCTCCCGCCAATTCAAGCGCGGTGCATCCCGCCAAGAACTGAACGTCTCGTGGCTGAAGAAGAACGAGCTCGAGATCAAGCGCCATGTGACAGAGATCCGCGACAACATCCGCACCAACTGGACCATGACCGGCCAGGAACTGGGTCGCGAATTGCGCCAGATCTGGCAGAACAGCCGGCCCGGCAGCCCCGCGCCCAGTACACGCACCAGCATGGATTTTGGCAATGGCGGCAATGGCGGCAATGGCCGCGGTCCCCTCACCAGTCCCACGGGCGGCAGCAAGTCCCATCTGTCGCGCGTGGAAACCCTCAACCGTGCAGATAGCCCGATGGGCTCGCCGCGGAACGAGGACTTCGCGACGGGGTACAGCCTGGGCTTGATTGGGGGCGTGCGAGCATGGGTATGTTTTCTTTATTCTTAAAAAACATTGTCATCATATCTAACGACCTAGCAGATGATGCGCAGCCGCCAGTCGCTTCAGGAAACCCCGAGTCACCCTCACTCGCCGATCGACGAAGACGACGGAGACTCTGAGCACGCCAACGGCTTCGACGAAGAAGACCGCGGCCGCACTGGTGGCACCGGAGTCTCTGCGTCGCAGTAGATAACACAATCTGACCCAGCATATCATTTTTTTTCTTTCCGTCACTTGCATTCTGAACCTTGTTTTACTTCTGTCAACATTGCTAGGACGGGTTCTCTCTTTCCTATGTCTGGCGCCCGGGTGTTTCCGTCTTTTACTGCTCTGATCCCATCCTCCTTTCCCTAATGCTCCGTCTGAAATTGAACTCCCATCTCCTTCCTCCCATTCCTTCTCTCTCATTTCATCTTTGTCGTCCTTGATTCCATTCTCCATTTCTGTTTTTGTATTGTTGGTTGGTTGACACAAAAGTCGCGACTTTGGACACGCGCTGAGACACCGGCTCTCAAAAGGATTTGTAGAAAGGCTTTTCTACTTGGCTGGGATATTTATTTGGGGTATTATGGATATAGACTGTGCTGGCTCTCGGGGGTTACTTTCGGGTTCAATGCCACCTTGGTATCATGCAGAAAACGATGCAATAGACCGGATCTTCTTGTGTTTGTGCACTACTAGTATAACTTTTGTTCAACTCGAAAGTCAACTTAGAAAACCACAGTTGAGGATCAAGATGCAATGTATATTTCTAATCAGTCTATCCTCTCTTGTCTTGTCTTGTCTTTCTATCTGTCTTATAATGAAAATGAGCAGCAGGAGTGGGTATCATCACAACAAAACACCAAAAGCAATAACAAAAAAAAAGGTCTTAAGCAGCCGTAATAGCCAACCTCGGCCTCGCCCTTCTCGGCGTCTGCGTCCTCAAATCATCCATGGCGCAAATCTCCGGCACACCCAGTCCCTTGACAAGCGGAACAGCCTGACCAGGCTTCGAACAAAGCACGGCGCGCAACTGATCCCTCAGATCCACAGCATCGCGACACAGATCAGGCTCGATGAGCCCCTTCGCAGCAGGATCACAGCGCGCCGTAACCGCCAGATCAAACTGCTGCAGCCCTCGCACGCTGAGCAGCGGGACGAGCCACGGCTCCGCAAGCGCAAGCGGCAGCCGCTGGCCAGCTACCACGACCGCACCGCCACCCGAGATAGTCCCCGTAAACCGGCCAAGATCCAGCGAGAGCCGCAGCTCGCGCAGGTTGGGCAGGGAGGCGACGCGCGCCCAGAACTGCATCCACAGCGCGTCCGAGTGCGTGTGTGCGTAGATCGAGCGGGCGTGGCACTGGCCCGCGAGCGGTTTCCAGACGGGCGTCCATTGTACCGTGAGGCGGCGGATGGAGCGGAGACGGCGCGGCCCCACGGCGCGGGCGAAGGCAACGAAGGTGTGGAGGTCGTCGACGTCGAAGACGGCGTTGGCGTAGAGCTGGTCGGCGGCTTCGGCGTAGATGGCTCGGCAGGTGCGCAGGAGGGCGGCGCCGCTGTCTGATAGCGACGAGGGCAGTTGCTCGTGGGTGTGCGGGTAGAGGAGGCCGTCGGAATGGCCGGACTCGCGGCCGGAGTATTCACGCCAGCGGGCCGGGGTGCGCGGGCAGCAGTGGCGATGCTGTGTGATGGAGGGCGTGGCGTGCTCGCACCGCACGTGCCGGATCTTGCCCTTGAGTTGCACGAGATGCACCGCGCCGTCGCCGAACACGTAACCCCAGATCATCTGGCGGATCTCTGGTGGCAGGCGCTGTAGTAGGTTGCTTGATCCCTGTGCGGCCATGGGGCCGGCTAGGTCGATCGGGCCCGCGTCGCGCGATTCGGTGGCGGGGGCACAGATCTGGCGTTCTTGGATCAGAGCACGCACGGCATCTTGCCAGCGGCGGCCGGTGGGATAGTAGTGGTAGATAGAGTAGGGGTCGCGGACGACCCAGGCGTCGAAGTGGCGCATTGTATAGGAACAAGACTCAGAATAAGCTCAAATAAACAATGATAAAGTGAAGCAATGGCAGTAGAAGAGAGTGGATGTCAATCCCAGTTCCATCCCCCGTCACAGATAATCAATCCGGGGTTAATGTGGGGGGGAGGGTGGGCATTATTTATGGGGCGAAGTGAATGTGAAAATCCTCATCCGGTGAAGCTGGATCGGGAATTGTCGGCGCGGACTGCAACGCTATGACGACATTTGATAAAGGAGCAGAGTGGTCCGCTAGGCTAGGCTTGATAGTCGAGGCTAGACTCTCGCTACTGTACCTACTACTGTACATACTGTGCATAATAAGGGGCTGCTATTGGCCAGACTCAATGCCCGCTCACTATCCGCTCAAGGGCCGGCGCACTCCTCGTCAGTGGCGTCGTCCTTGAACAACCCCTCCTCCCGCGGATCGCCGCGATCGACTGATGATTCTGCACGCGGCTCCTGCGCTACGGCCACATAGACCGCGCAGCACAGAATCAACGCAGATCCGACGACGCTGATCGGCTTGGGCGTGCTGCCCCAGACCACCTTGTCGTAGAACAGCGCGAACAGCATCTGCGTGTACACCATTGACGTGGCCCGCGCCCCCTGCCCGGCCTTGGGAGCCACCGAAGGCGGCGGCACATACGCCAGTCCCGCCGTCAACAAAAACTGCAGCAGAAACCCACACACCCCCAGTCCGCCCAGCAGTCCCCACTCCGTCTTGGTGCTTGGGAACCGAAACGGGATCCCCGGGACAAATATCATGGCGACCAGCGAGATCACCGTCGTCACCGTGGAGAAATAGGTCACCGATACCAGCGGGTGGGCCCGTTTTCCGATCAGGCGGATCGAAGTGTAGGCACCCGCCGCGCCAATGACGCCTACGGAGGCAACCACCGTCGCCAGAATGTGGTGGTACGAGTCCGCCTCGTCCGGGTTCTCGCCGTCGCCTGACGACGAGCGCTTGCTGAACGGTCGTGCGATCAAGACCACTCCCGCGAGCGAGACCACCGCTGCAAGCTGCTGCCGCCGCGAGAATGTCTCCCCGGGGATCTTCCACGAGCATGCGTAGCAGGTCATGATGGGCGCTAGGAACGTAATCACCGTTGCCTCGGCCAGGGGCAGGTACTGAACAGAGTAGTACAGGCCGTACACGCCCATGAATCCGCAGACGGCGCGCAGGAGCAGCCAGCCCAGCACGTCTCGGGTGCCCAGCGGGTGCGGCGTGCGCATATAGAACATATACACGTAGCTTGCTACCGCCGTGATAGACATGCGGGCAAACAGGACCTACACATGCAGACCATGAGCAAATTACCATCTTGAAGAAAATGCTAGACACGTACCTGAAACGGATGCATGGAGCTATGGATCTCCAGCACCTGCGTCATGACATTCATCGAGGCACCAAACATCTGGGCCAGGAGCACAAGGACCATGCCTTTGTATCGGAGCCAGAAGACCCGACTTCGGGCCAGCCAGGCATAGCGAGGTCGTGAGGCTGCGGCCTTGGCCTCGTCTTCGTCATGGGTGTTGTCGTTGTCTGGATGTTCTCTAGGGAGGGGTAAATCTGGGTGATCTGGATCCTGGTCGGTATAGGGGGCCGGGACTGACATCCGGGAGTTGTCATTGGAGAGACCAGGGGCGTCCCTGGGTTGATGATCTGCGCTCATTTTGGTGGCGGGGGGACGGTGGTGGTTGTGCGAAAACTCTGAGCGACGGGAACACAACTATAAAAGAGGACATATGCATATGATAATCACGGCATGGGTTATGAGGTCGTCTGCCCTTTCAACTGAAGAGAAGAGGAAAAAGAAAAAAAGTGAGCGCGCATGACCAAAAGTGGAGTTGGCTGGCCCGATGACATCGCTAGTGATGATTACATACGGTAGTAGAGTGCATACCGACTAAATCTCGAAAATGTTATAAATCAGGACAGTGTTTAACACATGATTTAACACTTAATAGATGGTAATGATCACAAAGTTAATTGCCATGAGTGACAGCGGGATTAGCACGAGGTGGCGCTCCCACCAAGCCCGAGGCTATAGATTTTAGCAACATTATGGACCAGTCTGCACTGTCAAGGCTACAACCATTTATTCTACACACATTTTCCCGTGAAACGGATTGTAATCATTTACCGAAGCGAAGATTGGCATTGACTGCGGGAGACATTGGCCCGAACGAGGCTCAATTCTAGAGATCTAGAGAGCACTACATGAAATCGCCCAATCTTACAATTTTCAAACTTGAAGTGTGCCAACCGGGTACCTAGACACGCCTTTGTAAGGTTTCTGCCTGTCCGAGCTAGCTAAACATAAGGGCTCCCTCGACTCTGACAATGTCAATAGTCTGGATGGACACACACGGACGATCACACTCAACTAGAAGAATGACTATCGGGGTCTTACAATTAACCGAAAAACTTCAGGAATACCCATTTTTACACCTAGTTCCATGGATGTGGTCAGAAAGCTGCTAGTGACCGGTTCCCCTTATTCAATTGCTTCTTTTCCTGTCGCTCTCGTCCTCGTCTCATGGAGATGGGTGGATGCGGTGGGATAAAGAACAACAAGGTAATACTGCCTTGAATCGGCCAAGTGTGAAAGAGGTCTCTTCCTTTCCTCTGGGGTTCTTCATTTCTTTCTTACAGAACCAGCATTGGAAAACGTAGTAGCGGTGTGGAGTGTATATTTAGCGGGAGCTCTCATGTCAAGACTTCATGGTGGATAGATGGACGAGCATCCACTGAGAAAAGGCTACAAAAATCCACTCTCTTTTCCATTTCAGCAGCCCCCACTTTCTCCAGAGAATATTAGAATATTCGAAGAAAACACGCCCCTCGACTAGTGCGTCCTGGCCGATTAGCGAGCGGGTTGGGTGTGGGCCGGTGTGGATACAGATCTGTTCTTGGCGCATCCATCGCCAACGTCAGGTCTACTCCGTGTCAACTACGTTCGATGTGACGAATCCATTCCCCATGGAAAATTAGTGGATTGTTGGTATCACCACTGGGCGATAAAGAATGAACAGTCCCGCGGATAGACACGCAGGACCCAGATCAACCCAGGGCAAGGGACATACAGAGAGACTCCGAAAAGGAGCGCAAGTTTCCTCGAGCCAGTCGGGCCACTGAAACAACAGAAAGAAATAAAAGAACAAAGTACAAAATCAATTCACCCGCGCCCTCTTTATTCTTGCTTCTACATCCCGAAAGCAGAAGAGAAGAGAAAAACAATGAACGCAGAGCAGCCGACCGGGACCCCGAGCCGTGGAGGGATAGAGAGAGGAAGGGAAAAGCAGCAGTCGCAAAAAAAAAGACCAGTTCATGTTAGTGGGGAGTTGTTGGGTAGACTCCCCAATCATATCCGTGCGTCATCGTGGAAATCCCGCGAGAAGGCAGGATAGGGCGCGGTGCGGTGGCACCGGAATCGCTGCGGTCGCATCGATCTATGCCTCTTCCTTGTTCTTCTTTTTGGACTTCTTGCCGCTGGGTTGTGCTGCTGTGTTCTCTTTCTTCTGGTGCACAATGAGCCGCGTCCAGGACTCCTCCTTGTCCCACTCGAAGCCAGCGAGGTAGGGCTTTTCCAACTCGTCGTCAGCCTGCAGAGGTCAGTTTTTGTCTTTGACGACCAGCCAGTCCGCTTACCTTCTTCTTGAACTGCTTGTGGATGGCGTCTAGTGCGTCCTTGATTGTGACGCCCTTCAAATTCCGGGCAGTGACCTCCAGGCCCAGGGGGAAATGCAAGTCAATCTTCTTGACTGGCGGGTTAACGAGGTGCAGCTTGAGGATATCCCGATCCTCGACGGTGTTTGGTGAGGTGTTGAGTTTCCTGGCAGGGGGGTCAGATTATGGATGACGTGAAAACGACAGGCCAATGACTTACCACCCGGTCTTTTGTGTCTCGATTGGGAGCGAGAGCTCGATCTTTTGTTCCTCTGGATGGAGAGCGATGATGAGTGATGATGGAAAGGATGGATGGATGGAAAGGGGGATGGAGACTTACCCAGGTCTTTGATATTCCAGACTTCGCCCGATTTGGATGGGGTGCGCTTATGCGTCTTCTTGACTTCCTTCTCGGAGGGTTTAGGGGCTTTGTCGTCTATAGACAAGCCAGCGATGGCAGAGTCGACCTTGGTGAGAGGCACAGACATGATGGGTGAACAGTAGGTGTAGATGAGACTGGGAAGGGGGGGAGAGATGTTAGAAGGGAAGGGAGATGATGATTGGAGATGGGATTGGGAGATGGAGCATACCAGATGGATAGAGTTGGATGATGGTGATGATGATGGATGAGGAAGAAGAAGAAGAAGAGAAGGGAAGGGAGAGTGTGTGCGAGAAGAGGGGGAAGAGAACAGGTGACTGGCAGGTGACCAGTGATACTGGCGGGGGAAGTCAAGGATGTCATGTTGGGCTGCGCAGCATAGGGACTTGACTGTACTTCTGGACCGACCTACTGCGACAGCCTCTAGGCACGGGATGGGGATTATCCCATGCTATTTCTACTCAGAATAGCTGTCATAATAAATCAGACCTCACCCTCTCTGTCTACCGAGCCTGATGAATATACCCTCGTTGTCCCCCTTCGGTCGGCTCCCCCGGATCACACGAGCATGTTGACATCACCCAATCCTAAGGCTGCACCCCGCATTCTTACTATTGTTTCGCTCCACCCAGATCGACATTAGCGGTACTAGTGCGTATTCTGATTACCATTATTACATCGTAATTATGTAATTCAGACACTGGATTAGGTGCTGTTAGGGTTGCCCCTGTCATTGGGAATCTCATCTAAGCTGATGTGCTCGCTTCACAAAAAGATCTCTTTACACTTTGTCTGGTTGTCTTGCTGATAGTTGTGGACCCAAAATCGCTTCTCGGAATTGACCATGTAACAGGAGAGACGTGGTGCGGATACTGCTAGTCAGATTATCCTTCACAAGCTGCCCAGTAGGCTTGGAGAATACCACCCCAACTTCTTCCAGCGTCATATCCTTGACCTCCGGCATGAACAGGACCTGGTAAAACCAGCCCAGAACACTGATCCCGCCGAAGAAACCTAGAGTGAGCCCAGTTTTAGTCATCGCGTCTTGCATGGCGCTGAAATTGTAAGTAATGATGAACGAGCCCAGAAATACCATTGCATCGGACGTCGCCATGCCGTAACTGCGGAGGTACGTCGGGTACACGTCAGATGGGATCACCCAGGTGAGACAGGCGTAGGATCCATAGCAGAGCATGTATATAATCAGGCCGCTTAAATATAGCCCTTCTGCAGCTTGGACGTTCGTGTTGACATTAAATAGGTAGCTGCAGCCGATCAGAACAAGGCCGACGAAGCAGCCAGGAAGCATGGTGATGGCCCAGAAGCGGCGGCCGAAACGCTCCATGTTGAAGATCGCGGGAATGGTGCCGATGAGTAGAGAGCCGCCGCCCACCATGGACATGTATGTGCTGTTCGCGGGGTTGAGCCCGATTTGCTGCATCAGGATACCCATGTAGTACATAAGGCCATTAATGCCAACGAATTGGCCTAGTAGAATCATAATATTCGCATAAATGATAGCGCGACGGCAGCGCGGGACACTTTCACAATCAGCCATGTCGGGTATGGGTGGTGGTTGGGGCACTTACGTGATGAAATCAAACCACACGAATTTCACAGCCGCTCGTTTAGCTCGCAACTCGCGCTCTTCAGCGTCAGCTGTTACTTTCATCAAGTAGAATTCGGCTTGTGAGTCGAATGATTCGACACCGCGAATGCGCTTCCAGACGCGGTACGCATCGAGGAGTCGAGACCGATGCAGCAGGTAACGGGGGCTTTCGGTCAGAAGAATCATGCTGTGATATTTTAGTTTGATATATTTTCTCTTTGCACTGGTTGACATACCCAATGAGCATCAGAGTCGAGAACACAATGGAGGAGCCGAGCATATACCGCCAATTCCCGTCCACTTTTAGGAAGATAGCGGCTACGACGTAACCGAAGACTTCCCCCAGCGCAATATTGAATTGGTAAAGTGAAACCAGGTTCCCGCGGAACTGACGCTCCACGCATTCTGCCACGTACACCGGCACGGTACCTGTCTCGATGCCGACGCCAAAACCAAGAACCGAACGGCCCATGATCATCATAGGGTAACTGATAGCGCCAGCTTCTAATGCCGCCCCGATAGTATATAGAATGGTGGCCAGAATGATCGCTCGTCGACGACCGAGATACTCATTGGCGGGAATGAGCAGGAAAGCACCAGCCACCGCGCCGAGAGGCATCGAACTATTGACGAATCCTACTTGTTGCACGGATAAACCCAAAGCGGTTGGCATAAAGAGGTTTGCGCCGCTGATGAGTGATTGATCCAGGCCGAACAGTAGCCCTCCCATTGATGCGAAGGCAGCCATTACCCAGGTGAAGTACTTGGGGTTCTTGAATGATAATTGGAATGCACGAGAGCGCCGCTGAGGACCATTGGCCTCCTCACTCTGTTGAAGCTCCGCCTCGAGTTCATGAACGAAATTTAAAACTTCCTGGCGGTGTTCGATTTTGATCACCTCTAGGAGCTCTGATTCCTTGGTGGCATCCGGTACGTTAGTGAGCTCGGGGCTGTCGATATGTTCTGCGCTGGCCTCGTCGGATTTCTTTGTGGAAGAAATTGATCGTTCCTCCGTGTACGTAAGGTCGTTTTCCATGGCTTTTTCCATTTCACGGAGGACCATTGAAGACAATGGTGAAAGACGAGTTTGTCGAATTATTTTCGCAACAAATCCGGGGTATTCCCAGTAGTTTAAATAAACCGCGAAAAATCTCGCCGACCAGAGAGACATTTGACTCCGTCGGCGAAAATTCGCCAGAAGAGGAAAGGCGTGGCAGGCCAAACCACTGGGCCACAAGGGGTCCTAACTGTCGGAAACCCAAACCCCGCTTTGGCCCTCTTTCCCAGCGAAAGAATGAGGTAAAGCTGCGTGTAGGTTCATCATGGCTAATTCCGCCGTTCCGTAGGATGGAAAGGTTGAAATTTGTTTATTTGCAAAGGAGGAACGCAAAGTTCATAGATACTTTTGGGAGGAACAGGGATCGTGTCTTCTAGAACGCGGGGAAGACGGAAAATAAAGATCTAAGATTCGGATCACTAAGCATCGTTCCCAAGGCCATGCAGCTCTCCTCAAAGAAAGGAACTGACCTTCCCCATTACTTGGCAATACATTCTAACCACGATGCCCACACGCAAACGGGCCCCCGGATGTCTACGATGCCAGGAAAGACACGTGAAGTGTGATAGGGGTACACCCACTTGCAACAGTTGCCGAAATCTCAAATACCCGACGGTTTGCGAGTATGCTTCAAAACGTCTTCGATTCCGGCAGAGTCGCTACTCGTCGTCAGTGGCAACAACAAATGTGATGCCGCGAGAGCTAGACTCTGTGCGGACTCCTCCGGCAAACGAAAACGATCCGGGAGCTGCCTCTGGCGCCAGCGACACCACACACGCCCCTTCTCTTAATAGAGCTGGCTCAGCGAGGACATTATCGAGCAGCTTTCCGCATCAATCCTCGGTGGTGAGTCCGGTCCCGTCCGCCGAGGATACTCGTCGGTTTTCATCGTCGTCATTGCCGATGGACGGTATCGCATTGACACCAAAACCATCCGTTCCTTCATTCATTTTTTCTCCTCTTGGGTTTGCACCCGTTGGTGCAGCTCCGAGCGATTCCGGCTATGGTATCGACGGGTCGAGCACCTCAATTGACTTATCACACCCAATTGAACATGTCTCCCCGAATACAGCAACATCCTATCAAACATCCGGAGACTCTGCACGTACCTTGACCGAAGAAATTGACTGCAAGGTTTTCGCTTTCTATGTGGAACGTGCCGGACACTGGGTATGGGTAGCCGTTCAAACGTCCAACCACTTGACTAACCAAATAATGTCGTATAGATTGACATTGGATCTCCTGGAGGATTCTTTCATTCATACGTACCCCAGCTTGCTCTCAGTGATCCACTGCTGCTCGCCGCCTGTCTTGCTTGTGCATCCCATCTCATGCATTTGTTAGGCATGGTTGAGAAAGAAGTGGAGCAATACTATAGTGATCGCGTCGTGAGTTTAATGATTCCTTCACTTTCGTCAGAAAAAGCAAACTCCTCCAATGAGGCCCTGCTAGCTACCGTTGTCATTCTGCGGATGTCAGAACAATTCTTAGAGCTCAGCAGCGACACCCAGCGCCACCTGCAGGGTGCTGCATCCCTTTTTTTGGATGGCACGGACTGGTCACCTGTGGAATCCAACCTTGCGACCTCGTGCTTCTGGACCTATCTCCGAGAGAGCATTCGCATTTCATTTCTCCAAGAGCAACCATGTCCGTTTGACTTGACTCATCTCAGTCTCTGTGAGGAAGACATGACGGTTCCTGCGCCGACGGATGGAGTGTGGACGAATCGTATGACTTTTCTTCTAGTCAGAGTTGGCGCGCTATGTTGGGACCGTGTGCGACAGCATCCTACGACTGAGTCGAAGAGTCTGAAAGATCTCATTGATAAATGGAGAGCGCACTTACCTCCTTCTTTCCGACCTTGGTGCATCTGTGAGAATGATAATGAGCCGTTTCCGGATATTCGCTACTTTGCACCATGGCATGGTGAGTGTCTTTCCCTCATCGTTTTTGATTGGCGCTGTTCCAGTATTCTGACGGAGCAAAGTGGTTGCATGGCAGTTCTACTATGCAGCAAAAGTAATGTTGGCAGTATATTTCCCAGATGAGTGGGCGAATAAGAGTGTGCACGATATGCACCGGTACATTGAAGTATGTTAATTCTTGATGGTTTTGATGCCTACCCTCTCTCCACCGCTCCCCGCTCATACAATTGGAACCAACCTACCAGACCGCAATTATTGCACCGACTCGCCTACTGTGTGGACTGTGTATGTCAAATATGGCCAATGTGGGTACCAACCTCAACGGTAGCCATCTAATGGCATGGTGTGGCCGATTCCTTTCTGGTCGAGATGAGCAGCAACGTTTGCTCAATTTCTTGACTGAATTTAGTCATAGTACGAAGTGGCCCAGTCAAGTCGACTGCACGCGCTTGGAGAAAACATGGGCGAAATCAAAGGGACCTTGGATGGAGTGCTTAGGGGTTTCGCCAGAATTCTGATATTACGGTTGCACTTCTTCAAATCACATATGCTTGATTCCTGGGAAAGTTAGGCAGGATTTTACCTTAAGGGTGGGGTTAGCTATGGTGGTTTCACATAGGGTGTTCGGGGTTCGCATTGATTCGCTGCACAATCTCGATACTTTGAGCACCATCGCTGTCTCCTCCACTACAATATGTAATGCTTAATGACGGGAGCGTTTTCTTATTAAAGTCCCATCAATCAACCCCCCCGGCTCTGTTATGCTTTATTGGTACAAAAGGCGGGGGAGTACCCACTCGAATCGCCGAAATTCTTCCCAATCAGGTAAGTAGTCTTTGACCAGGAAACTTCCGAAATAGTAGAAAAACAAGAAAAGATCTGGTCATAACACTTGCCGATCACTTGAGTACACTTCCCGTGTCTATTCGGTTCATATTTGTTGACCTGTATGGTCTTCCGGCCAAGTGGACTCCGAGCGGTTTTACCACTATGCTCCGGGCACTCGGAGAGATTTTCGTCTTTGGACATCGAGTCAATGTTCCACGCAACGAGGCTTTCGCAGTGCAGTATTTCACGAGTTGAGAGGAGGGGCTTAGGTGATGCTCTATTTGAATACCTAGATGAACAACATGTTTAGCCAAGTACATCATCGTGCCTGCACATATTGAAAAAGGCGTATAGCCCATAACCTGAATAAGAAAGAAATGCATTTACTCATAATATATATCCAGCTGTGAAAAAAAAAAGACCAAAGTATAGCAAATCCCTACCAAACATCCTCCTGTAGCCGTTTAGATTCCTTCAACTGCTTGATAGCCCCGCTATCACAAAGCAACATTCCAAGGCTAGTCTTCACAGCATTGGCCATATTGGCACTACCACAAATATAGACCGACCCATTGCCATTTTCAATCAGCTGCTTCGTGCTTTCTGCATGTTCAAGCAACTTGTGCTGCACATAAAACTTTTCCCCATTGACCAACTGACTCGAGAAAACGAATCGTGTCTCCAGAATCCCCATATTCTCGGCCTCCGACCATACATCCGAGTAAAGACAGTCCTCCTTCGATCGGGATCCATAAAAGAGTATCATCTTGCCAACCGATTCTCCCCGTCTCGAAAGGGCCATGCGCTCCTGCACAAAGCCTCTGAAAGGCGCAATGCCACTCCCCGCCGCAATCATGAGTATCGGTATCTCTGTTTTGGCTGGTAGCTTGAACTTCGACTTTTGTACATATGCAAACATCTTATAGCCGCTTAGAACAGACCGTGGTCCATCGAAGTTGTATTGAGGTCGAAGCCTGTTGGCCTTGTTGATTTGATTTTTTTGACCGTGCAAAGCATACAAATATCCCGTCGCCAAGCCAACAAACGGCCGATCAGCTTGTGAGGTAGGTGTTTCGACCAGGCCGGCGGTGATAGCGATGGACTCCGGATCTACCAGTGGCGAAGATGCAATGGAGAAATATCGAGGGCGGAGTTTGGGCATCATAGAAAGCAAAGCGGAAAAGACATCTTCAGTCCAAGTCGCCCCAGGAGCTGCGCACTTCATGAGCTGGCCACATGTAAGATGTTGGATGGAGATATCTAAACGGCTTTCGGGGTCAAACCGGCACCGATTAAGGTAAGCTGTGGCATCGGCATTGGGGCTGTATGCAGCAAGCAAGTCCAAAATTTCAGGGCTAACTGGGGAACAGATATCGAGCTGGTACTGTAATAGGGCTTCCCGGGTGGTAGGCGTAGGTATGGGGATGGAGGTATTTTCACTCGTGGTTGGATTACGAGGCCTAATGTCAACGGCGGCCTTCAAGGACTTCTTGTCCCACCCGAAGACGCTTGCAAGCAGAGACACTTCACTGTTAGGATTGACAGGCCATATCGCAATGTGGTCGCCAGCCTCATATCCGGTCTTCAGGTTGCTCATCCTTGTGTCTAGCTCAATATGCAAATAGGTTCGGACAGCATCTTGCATCTTCTTGGAAGACCCTGAGCCAGACAATTGGAAAGACCGATTCACTCGCACGAGATGCTGCTGCTTGTTGGAAATCGTTGTTGTTGATGTCTCTGCAACATGGCTCACAGCCGTTCTCCCTGGCCAACCCTCGTTCAGGTTTACCAGATCGAAGACTGGCCATTGTTGGTCAACGCACTCCTGGGAACCAAAGCGCTCTGCCAGATTCTTCACCATTTGATCCTTCCAGCTTAGCCAGTTGTCTTCAGAATGATCGGCCTCATCGATCTTGCCAACGGGTGCAATTCGCTGAGCACCGCAATGAGTGAGTGTCTCATCGACGAAATCGACAAACCGATTATAAAACTGGTACTTGGAGTTTCCCAGGCCGAAGCAGAAATACTCAAGATGCGACAGCGGTCGGGTCCGATTCTTTTCAATTCTTCGAAGGTATTCGTATAGGCCAGATGCGTTGTCTGTCGGATCCCCTTCCCCATAGGTTGCAAGTATGAACCCTACTAGTCGTCCTTCGCTTAGCTCTGCAAGTTGATCGTAGTCGAAAAGGTCCAAATTGGCAGCGATTGCGGGCAAGTTGAAGCGTGTGGTACACTCTCGGACAAAGTTGTTCGCTAGGCGCTCCCCCCTGCCACTTTGAGATCCCCAAAAAACGATGATACTTTTCCCGAGCTCGGTCATGCGGTCGTTGATTTGTCGAGTAATAAGTTCTTTTGGTCCACGGCCGATGTTTAAAAAAGTCTCTTCCTGTAGTTGAGGAGAGACGAAGTAGAGGTTATGTCCTTTTTGGGGTCTCGACCAGAGAGTACCATGGCTTGTCCACAAGGAGACAAAAATTGCAAGCAGAGACATGATGACCAGATCGTCGAGCTCCAGCACAAAGCTGGGAAACTGAATTGAGTGCCAAGGCTCACGATGTGCAGCATTTGACTTGGAAATTTGGCCGTCGAAAAGGCCCAGGGGATTATAGATGAAAGCGTCCATTATGAAAGCCGAATTAGGGGGTTCTTCTCGCCCTTCGACCACGACTTTGGGAGCGTGTGTATTTATCCCTGCCCAAGTGGGATTTCGAGTCTTTAATGATTGACGTGGAATTACGCAACTGGGTCAAGAAACCGATTTGCCTTGGATTATTATTCCACAACATGCATCTGCACTAGTGCTAAAAGACAAGTTGGCGAAAAATTACCGCAACGGGAGACTTTCGCCGAGCGGTATGGGGGTGAGTGATCTGCTTGTCACTCCACTGCGTGGGGTTATCGTCAAAAGAAAAAGACTCTTTGGAATGCATCGGAGTAATTCGCGTAGGATTCTACATGGAAGTTCGGTACGCGAAACCCGAGATGTAGCAAGTTGCACAGAGTATCCAACTATACACAGGATAGTGTCTGCTGAGGGGGCCTTTCCTATTCGGGCTGCGGCCGCGCTTAGGCTCTGGCTCACTGAGTAGAGATCAGCACGGTTTAACTCAGTCACGCGGTAGATGACTGACGCTCAGTGAGTGCTTAATTAGAGTCATGGATGCGCTTTGGTGGTTTTCGTAATGTTAATAGAGGGACCATTGTGATGCCCATCTCTAGTCATAGTAAACCTAACACAAAAAAGCGATCAAATACCGCTATACCGCTGTTCGCCCGAGCCACTAGTCTTTTGCTGAGGTAAGCCCCCCAAAATGTCCGCATGCATGTCTGCACCGCATATTCAATTGGGTGCACGGTGCAACCTCTGAAAGCTCTCGCTCTGGAATTCTGATTGAGCGTGCGTGACAGGGCCTATGTCACTTACGGACTAGTACTGCGTTATTAGCATTGCTAAAGATAGTAGGCGGTGGGAGTTACAGTAAATTGCCAAAGCATTAAACGGTGGCGTAACGCGGTCGCCACATCGTTGAATAAGTCACACCTCTTATCACTCATGAAATCAAGGATGAAAAAGATTCAGGTCAGCCTTGATCTTTGTGACAAACATGCAACTATCTGCACAACCCTGTGACGCATGCAGACAATACAAAAAGAGATGTAACAGGGAGTTGCCGGAATGCGCACTCTGTGTTCGGTAAGATAGCGCACATCTAGATATCAGCATCACTTCGATCACAATATAACATGTACTGATGGTGGCGCAGCACCGGACGAAAATGCCACTATCAAGAGTTGCAACGATCCAAGAAACACAATCATACTCAGACTCCTCCGTGCCTTGCAAGGAAGATCGTTGGTCATGGGCCACTTTTTCAAGCCCAGAGCCAGGGAGGCTCACCACGGAATGACTTCCCCGCGGCCTTTTTCACGGATCCCTTCCTATTTAAATTCTGCAAGTTGACTATTCCGCACAATAAATTCCCACTGCCGCAAGAGATTGTCGATGCGATGATAAAGGGCAGCGCCAGTAATTTACCTGCTGCGATCCAGACAATGGTTTCCCAGTATTTCGTGACGGTACACACCTGGGTTCCTATCATTTCGCGAAACAGGATGTATGGATCCCTGCTCTTGAAACCGTTTCCCCAACTGGACCCAGATATCGTGCTCCTTCTTCTTTGTATGAAGCTAGTAACCTATTCCCCGCTGTCACCATCGGCCGATAACGGCAGTTGTGCGATGCCCCATGACAATGATGGTGATCCGTCAATGGAAGATGACCTTTATACTCTTACCAAACGGTTTCAATTGATGGTCGAAGACTCGGGTTGCCTTTCTATTCATGTTGTTCAAGCGGGCATTTTGAGGGCCGTGTATGAGATGGGGCACGCCATCTACCCGGCCGCATTCCTCACTATCGCAGCTTGCGCACGGTATGGTGTGGCCTTACGAATCGACCAAGAACAAAAGTTGCAAGACGGTGAGGGTGATTGGCTGGAAAGAGAAGAGGCGAATCGAGTGTGGTGGGGAATTCTCATCATTGACCGGTAAGCTTCGATTGCAAAGAAAGCCGCCCTTTTCTCATGCATAGTCTAGCATCCTGAACATAGGTAGTCGAGGCTCCCGGCTATGTACCTCAGATCCGACCATGAATTCTATCCTGCCAATTGATGATGACGACTGGGACCGCGGCGTAAGTAGATCAAAAATTTCATTGTTTATTTCATGTTATCATTTGTGTTCAAGGAAACGGAAGAAGAGAAGTGAAAGACGGACCTGAAGTTTGATTATTCCGTTTGCTACTGACATTCGAAAGTTAACTGGGTAAATAGGTCGTCCCCAAATTCGAGCGGGCCCGATTGGCATCACCACCTAGCCTCAGGGTTGGTGGATTCGCGCGACTGGCGCAGTCGATATATCTCCTTTCCCAAGTTTTTCGAAGTATCTCCACCGATCAAGAAGGCATGCAGCTGCATTATGACTGTGTTTCACAAATAGATCGGACAATTTCTGCTTTTAGGCGTGTAGCCGAAAAGGAAGCGCATGAAAGGCAAATCATCTTTTGTTGTCCACTCGCAGTTTGCAACAGGTTCGTCGACCCATTCTGCTCTGCTTTTCTCCCCTCCGTCTCCTAAACTTTATTTCATTTTTCCTTGCCCAGAAATTTCGATGAACGTAGTATCATTATTTCCGTTCTAACTATATCCCAATAGTGCTCTGCTCATGATCCACATGCACTACCTCTACGGTGGCCACGATCAGTCCTCGCCTAGTGATGAGATAAGAATGTCTAAATGCTCTGTTGACACTATAATACGAAGAACCGTGGAAATCGGCCGAGAGTTTTGCGATCGTCTGCGAGCAAGCTTGTCGGAATTTTCTCCACTGGAACTTGACTGGCTGTATCGAACGGCAGCGACTTTGATTTATCTGCAGCAGGAATCGAACGGTGCTCCTTTCGACGACGGCGTAATGCATATCAAAAATGTTCTTAAGCAGGTCAATGCTCGCTGGCGGGCCGCTGGTAGGTAATAATGCTTTTTTTTCCAAATGATCGGATCATCGCGGTGCTGACTGCTGGTAGGATTATACCTGAATCTGCTCAATACCAGGCAGCTCATGAAAATACATATTTAGAACCACAATGTTTGTGGTTTTGTTAGCATACAGTCCTTCGCTTATACGATGCTCCTATTACCAAATTATAATTCCGCCTCAGCTTCGAGGTTGAGTCTAGGGGAAGTCGGCTCGGCATTCGTGTCTCTGTGTTTATATCACATTCTAAATACCCATCAAATGACAATTCAGCTAGTATAACGGCAACGAGAGTGAATTAGTGGTTTTGGGACCTCACATCCAATCTTCACAACCTGCCTGCGCCTGCATCAGGCCAATTGACTCGAGCTGTTCTAACTGCAGGCAACCCTGGCGTGCTCATATTACACCTCAATTTCGTAATAGTATGTAAAAATGGCGGATTTTTGGTGTTGGAAATGCTCTTATTCTATTGGAGCGGTGGCTGGGTCGGAGTCGGCATACGGCGCAGTCGGCGCCTTTTCGGCGCGTCGTTACATGTCGGCGGCCGACTTGCGGAGAGCGGAGTATATTTTACGGGCCGGGAACAGCGAATCCGGGCGACGTGACTCAGATAAGGAGAAGGAAAGAATACTCTCAAATGGTCCGCTTGTTTGAAAATAACAACAATCATTATGTGTCAAAAATTGTCTCACTAAGGCAGTACACCAAAGGGGTTATACAAAAATCAACCCGTTACTCACCTTTACTTTCCGACCTTGAAGCATAGCATGGTACGCATTCTCGACAAAAAAGTTCCCTCAGATTTTGGTGCCAAGTGCATGTCCATGGTCTTCGAAAACAACCAAACAGAGGTGTTTTGCTGCTCTTTCTGAACCTAGCCGCAGATTCCCTCTGATAAATGCAGCCCTCTTTCTTATTTGTGCACATGGTATCTAGGTTGGGCTTCGGATTCGTTTTCTCCTGGCTGATGGATAGTGATATCACAGCTGGGCTGACTCTCTCTGTCACATTCCTATGCAGACTGCCCGACCGTATTGTGTTATTCGGAATTGGGTCTTGCAAGAAGGACGGGAAAATCGAGTGTGACAGTAGCTCATGCATTTCCTTTTCGGCCGCATCAAGTATTGTAGGTGCGGGAGGTTTCTCCGGGTTATGGTATGCTAGCAAGTCACATCGTATGTTGCTTCTCGAATTGATTTCTCGTGGTGATCCCGGGATGATATATGTTGACAGAAGCTGTTGCCAGAGCTCAAGCAATATCCATGATTTGGGCGGACCAGGAGATATAGGCGATTCATCGGCTAAGGGAGTAGCGTCATAGCTATCCCTATAGCGCCTAAAATCTAGGATGAACTCGAGGATTTCAAGGCAATGATTTCGAGACAAATGGGCTGTAAAAGAGTTGAAAGTATAAGGGTGAGGAGCCTTATTATGCAATACCTCACCAAGAGAAGGTTGCTGGTCACGTAAGGTCATAACGCGAGTAGATCTCATTGAAGAATGGCGTATCCTTCCTGTGTAGGCTCGTTATTTCCGTATATGCTTCAACATAGGAGCTTTGAGATATCCGGGTGAGTATCTATATATATTATTTTGCGATTATCCGTCAGGTGTGTACCATCCAATCCCAACGCGCATTGCAAGCACGACATCTCGATTGCCACCTTGAGTGAATTATATCATAGCGAGGGGCAGGTCCAATATTGTCGAAGATTGTGGATTTACCCACGGGGAGATAAGTTCGACTGCCTAGTTCTTCAGTCCTACAGGGTCCTCAGCCGTTTAGAAGAACCAGCGACATCAATTGATGGGTCATTCATCATCTCTCGATATGACAACTATGCTGCGCCGACCGGCGAATCGGGCGGGATCTGCGCCCGCTGCGGCGCCACTTCACCGAGCCGGCGATATCATTTGATGGGTCATTTTTCATATCTCGACACGACAATATGCTGCCGACCGGCGAATCGGCGGAACTGCCCTTGCTGTGGCACCGCTTCGCCGAGCCGGCGATATCATTCCATGGGTCATCCCTCATTTCTCGACTCCGCGATTATATCACTAGAGATAACAAGCGCTGGTAACCCTGGCTCAAAAGGAAGAATAAAACGATAACATCAAGACTACATAGCAGTTTCTTTATTAGGGGGCTCAACAGTTCATATACATTTTGACGTTTTAAAGTGCTAGCTAAATTTTGGGTGCAGACGCGAGACGTTCAAGGCATAAGGAGACGAACGGTATCCAGTTTAGTTAACATGATGATTATTACCACGAAACCATGCCGGGTGCCGTTTAGCCGAACCAGACTGACCATATACCAAGAACGTTCTAAGGATTAGGGTTGCTCGGTGATCTGCATGCTAGTTATCTCCGCGCTAAACGTGACGATGATTGGGCGAGACCAACAGCTCAAGTGGGGCTGTAGAGAGCCCGTGGTTCTCATGCGGCGGCCTTCCCTTAATGGTAAAAGGTGCTCGAATGATCTGTAATCAATTGTATACTAATTATGACTGGCCATGGGGACTAGATTTTGTCATGAGGGGTTTCAATTTCCTTCAGAGGATGCCTATGATTCTGAGGCATTTATTACGGGCTTCTCATGATGAGTCTATGACAGAAGGGGCGTGATACAGGCCCGGCCCATCGGGACAATTAGTCAGGTCAAGTGGGATCATACCAGATAGTCTCCCGCCCATCTATACTTAGTCTCAGACTATAAATCGACCCTCCTCTACCTCCCCTTCTTCGCGTGACGGTACTCGCTCTCTGTGATCTTTCTATAATCATCTATCTATTTATATACCGGTAGTGTTTCCCACAATAATCCTATGGAGCAAGCAGGCAAAAGACTACTCCCCAAAGTCGTCGACGATTTCGCCGAAACAGACCCTGAGAGACGGTTTGCCATCATCTCGCGGGGAGCAGAGCTGTCTGATGGATTCCAGACTCTATCAATGAAAGATGTTTCTCGTGCTGTGAACATCCTATGCGAGTGGATGGAGAGCACTATTAAGCCCGCGCGCTCCCGTGAGACGTTGGCGTATATGGGGAAAAACGACGTGCGCTATTGCTTCTTTCTTCTTGCATGCCAGAAGCTTGGTTTTCAGGTAATGGAGACTATAACAGGGTTGTGGAAATGAGTTGCTGATGAAATTTAGGCCTTCTTTCCGTCTACGAGAAATTCTGACGAGGTTCATGTACATCTTCTGAAGGCAACGAGGTGTACCAAGTTCTTTTGCAGCGAGGGGCAGCGTAGCCGGGCTCTGGAAACTCAGTGTCTTTCCCCAGATGTGGATGTCTTTGAAGTTCCCACCCTGAAGGCCATGCTCAGTGATGGAGGTGGATTTCGCTCCTATCCATCCCCAAATTCATTCGCCGAGGCTTGTGATGAGCCAGTGTGTATCATCCACAGCTCTGGAACGACCGGTATGTTTTTCACATCTTTCAGCTAGCCCATTGTCGAAACTTAACTTCCTGTAGGTATGCCCAAGCCGGTGTATCTCACGAACGGCTTCTTCGGTACCATGGATGCGGTCACTCAGCTTCAATGGCCCCCAGGTCGCGAACCAAGTCTGTTTTTCAACTTCGATCAACAAGACCTTGTGTTAACCACGACGCCATTCTTCCATTTGATGGGACTCATGGCGTTCGTGTTAAGTATATTCCATGGAGCGCCTGCTTTGATTGGTCCTGAAAAGCCGCCCTCCGTGGACTTTTTGGTCGAGTTGATGCGGAAGGGTCGCCCGACAGCCGCAGTATACCCGCCATCTCTGCTAGAAGATCTCAGCCATTCCGACGAGGCACTTGCCTGTCTAAATGAGCTGCGAACTGTCCGCTTTGGAGGTGCTCCTCTAGCACCAGAGACTGGTGAACGTCTACGGAAGTATACGCAAGTAGTGACTGCGATCGGATCAAGTGAGGCCGGGTGGATACCATCGATGGTTCCGGAAGATCCAGGTAACTGGAACTACTTCGAATGGCACCCGGAATATGGGCTGGAGATGCAGCCCACGGGAAATGATCTCTACGAAATGGTGTTACGACGACAGGCGTCTCGGGAGTTCCACGGTATCTTCCACACCTTCCCCAACATCGATACCTATCGAACCAACGATCTCTTCACTCAACACCCCACGGTCCCAAGTCTATGGAAGTTTTATGGCCGGGGGGACGACGTGATCGTTCTGAGTAACGGCGAGAAGTTTAACCCGGTCACCATGGAGACCATTATGGAGGGGCATCCGCTTGTTTCGAGGGCGGTAGTCATTGGAGAATTTCGATTCCAGGCGGGCTTGTTAATAGAGCCCGCCGTGGACGTGCCAGAGATGGATACTAAGATGTTCATCGAACAGATCTGGCCAGCCGTACAAGCGGCAAACATGACTATCGCCGCGCACGGCAGGGTGATGAAAAGTAAGATCGGGCTTGCCTCAAAGACGATGCCTTTCAAGAGAACCCCAAAGGGTACCACGCAGCGGCGAGCTGTATTGAGGGATTATATGAAGGAGATTGACGCAATCTACTCTGATGGTCTAGAGGAGGAGCCAAAGTATTCCCTCCCTGACACCCTAGACCAAGCTAGCGTGAGGAGATACGTTCGCCAAACGATGGCTCATGTGCTAGGAACATCAGATATACCGATTGACCAGGATTTTTATAGCGCTGGGCTCGACTCTCTCCTGACTATCCAGGCCTCCAGGGTGATCAAAGAGGGTATTCAACTGCGTCGACCCGATATAAAAGCAGGGCTTAGGCTTATGACTCCACAGACGATCTATGGAAACCCAACTGTGGAGAAATTGTCGCGCGTTGTTCGTGCTATTCTAAAAGATAATATGCAGCAGACAGGCATCCCTCGAGCAAAGAAGATACAGGACCTAGTGAAAAAGTACACAGCCGATCTTCCCTTGCGCGACGAGCGCTTCCTCCAGAGCAATAAGGAGGCGCACTTCACTATGATTCTCACCGGATCAACGGGCTCACTAGGGACATACCTACTCTACAATTTTCTTTGTAGCCCGGTTGTATCGAAGATTTACTGCTTGAATCGATCAGACGCAGAGCCGCGGCAGAGAAAAAGCTTCGAGGAGAAAGGCCTACATGTGGAGGAAGACGACTGGAAGAATAAGCTAGAATTCCTCACAGTCTCTTTCGGAAAACCGCGCTTCTATCTGGATGAGGCTAAATATCAAGAGCTGCTGGAATCGGTGGACACTATCATCCACAACGCCTGGAAAGTCGACTTTAACCACTCGGTCGACTCCTTCGAAGCTGATCACATCTGTGGCGTTCGTCGGTTTATTGACTTCGGCCTTCATAGCAAGCACAACGCCCATCTCCACTTTGTTTCCTCTATTAGTACGGTCGGTGCGTGGACACCGAACATGGCGCCGGCGGTCCCGGAAGTCCCGATAGAAAATAGCGCAGTGGTCCTCCCACAAGGCTACGGCGAATCCAAATATGTTGCAGAGCGCATCTGTTTGGAAGCATCGCGACGGTGCCGTATGGAAACAACTATATATCGTGTGGGACAAATTGCAGGCCCGACTACTGCAAGCGGACAATGGAATCAGCACGAATGGATTCCAGCCATCATTGCGACGTCAAAGGCGCTGGGTCAAGTTCCCAATTGGCTAGGAGGTAGGGAAGTTGACTGGATCCCCGTGGTAAGGACTTGAGGACTTCCGCCTCTGACTGTTAGTTTTAATAAAGCCATGAAGCTGACCGCGCGACGTGCAGGACACTCTCTCATCGATCATGGGCGAGATTGTTAACACACAAAGTACAAACCCATCCGAGGACCTCTGTTCCGTCTTTCATCTGACGAACCCGTCGAGGGTACCCTGGTCGTCACTGATTCCAATCATCCAAAAGAAGTACGCGGTGGAGCCAGTCGAACTGGCCGCCTGGATAGGCAAACTCGAAAACATCCGGAACCCTACGGACACTGAGGTTCGTAAAAAACCAGCACTCAAGCTGCTGGGCTTCTACCGCGCGCTGCTAGATAAAACCTCGGCACTTTCAGTGGTGCTGGATGTCCGACGAGCGCAAGAAGCGAGCGCCACAATGAGATCACTGGGACCAATCTCTGTGCACCTAATGCTAAATTGGTTGCAACAATGGCAATTCTGAGTTGATTCTGTCGGCATGCCAGCATGGTTGATCCATGGAAAAAGTTTGTACAGTACTAAACTGCCGGTGGCTCCTGACATTTTTGGTATTGTGCGGTCATTTCGCTTACTATGGACTTTTACTATAAAATAGATAGCTAGGTTGCCCTTAAAATGTCAGACATCTTCTATCTTGTGATTTTGACCACATTCTGACATTACCCGAAAGGTAATGAGTGGCCGATCAATTCTCCACTGGATTCCTCAGATTCCATTGGGGAGCATACTATACCTAGGTTTCATTCCCGACCATTACTCGGCTTTCCTGTATCACAAAATGCGGGGAATCTGATTTCGAGTATAGCAGTAGAGCTCGAAAGTCCGTCATTAATTCTAGCACTCTTGGCCGGGTTAGATTTAACGCTATCGACAGGTTATGAGAATAGGAAGTGTTGGCGCCTGTACACCAACACATGGGATGTAGACTGGCAAAACCGTAGTCTTCTAGTAATATTGTGGTCTCCCAGAAATTCATAAAGCTTGAACGTTTCGGCTCTTGATCCTTTATCATACTAGCGAAAATTAACTTTTTAGCCTGCAATGTCTAAGATTCCATCATTCGGGAATGCTTCTGCATTTGGACCTTCCCCTAGGCCCTCGGTCTTATTCGTGTGTCCTTATTGTACTAGTCCTCTTCCTTTGCGCCTCTAATTGGGCCTTCCACCCCTACGTCTACTAGGCCACCTCCTTTTCCCCTTCCTTTTAGGAGTCCTATCGCGTCTAGCAGCATAAATGGGCGTCCTTCCACTAGGCGTCCTGTCCTTCCACTAGGCGTCCTACTGAGCCCGCCCGTGCCCTCTTTGGATCTGTTTCTTCTACTAGGCCGACTATTGAGCCCTCTGCCCCTACTAGTCTCTCCCCCAATTTGGAGCTCCATCCTTAAGGTCATATAGAAATACTCCCGAATTTGCCCCGTCTTTAAGCGATACGACGGGTTCGATAAGAAGAGCAGCCATAGCCTTAGGAGCGATCAACTAAAGGAACAAATAGAACTCTACCATCACGCAGCGCACGGTCAAGCAACACAGTACCTAATTACGCTTTATGATGCTATTTTGGATAATCCGTCCCTCGGCTTTTATAATCCCCAATCGCCTCTAGCGGCGGAGATTGCAATCAGTAATCTTGACACAATCAATCGTAGGGTGTTTGATGGAAAAAATTTCAACGAATTGGATGATATAAGTCTAGGTCAGATTCAGTGGGAGCGCTTTGTTGACATATGGAAGTCACTTCTCTCAATACCTAAAGAATCTCAATTTTCCGAACAATAGAAGAAAGCATCGCGGGTTGCACTATCTAATTTATGCAAAGAATTCGGATATCCTCGAGGATGGGCCACCCCCCTTCCACGTTAGGCTGTTCAACAACAGATGGTCCCCGTCTCAACGAGGAAGAGGTAACAACGCCTCCAACGAGGCGAGGCGGACCCGGTGATTCAAGGAGTTGATGATGCAGGAAGCCACGCAACATGGACGTGACTGAGCATTTAGAGATGAAGAAAGCAACTCTTCAGAACTCTGACTATCAGAGCGGTTGACGAAAAGGGCTAGATACAAGCAAGGTTTTCTATCTTTGACGTGATTGTGAAATTCATGTTAAGCGTAAGAAATGAGTTTTTCAAACTTGAAATCATTATGTCCCCGAGAAATCATAATATTACCGTGACACTTACTATAGTATTCTATCTATACCGAGCCTGACTGGAGGTAGAGAAGAGAACGTGGAAAAAGGCTTCCGTGTTTAGAATTCGATTCATTGAACTAGACCTGCAACAGGATTGATATGCTTTACTCTGCAAAATGGCAGTATCCAACATATCCTGTGAATGTTGCTCGACAGATAGGACAACTCTTTCGGCGCCTTGAGTCTTCCTGTGCATAACTCGCAGACTAAGTGCCCACATAGAATCGTCACTAAGCGATCTGGCTGCATGTAGGAGATCTTGCACTCTAAAGCACGCCTTTCTCTTTGCTGGGGAAGATCCTCTTGCGTCTTTTGGTTCCTCTCCCTCTCCTGGCGAAGTTCATCTCGAAGTATGCGATTTTTCTCTTGTAGCCGCCGTATTTCATGGCTTACCACCTGTCGAAGCTCCTCAAAAGCGTTATCCTAGTCCATTGTTAGGTAAGGAAGAAGAGGGTCTTATAAGGAACTAGTATAAAAGCAAACGGCTCCTTCGTTTCATTTCTTTTACGTTTGCGTGATGGCGTCGCATCCGTTTCATCATCGACCGCTTCAACGATCATGCTCTCGAAGACCTGGTAGCTGTAATCACGGCTAGGGACCCTCCGAGGCCCTAAGCTACCTAGCTCGTGGCTTAGCAATTCCTCGTCATCGGCTGTAATAATCGTGTTCGAATGGCTAGACATTGTGATCTTAGTCGCCACGCTTAGGGAGGAAAGCTGATACAAACCAGCCTAGGAAGAGGAAAAGAAAACATCAGAGCATTACAACTAGCTAGGGGAAGGAGGCCCCTTATATACCTGAGAACCACTAGAAACGATGCAGACAGAGCATGTCGAACGGCTGGCCTGCTCATCCATCTAATCCGTAGCCAGTCTACAAAATTTGGTTCCTATTTCTGAGCAGCTGCGTATCCGCGCACTGCCTGCGCCCAGTGGTATCACCACCGAGTTGATTGAGCTCTGTTTGCCAGTCGTTCTATAGCCCAAGGCAGAAGATGAGACGAGCAGGAAGAACCAACACTGACGCAAAAGCCCCGCCATCCTAGTCCGCGCGACACTGCCGCTGCAGAAGTAAAACCTGGTTTTCCTATCCATCCAGCTTATCCTCTATACCAATCGATTGTGAAGCTAAGGAGCATCTTAGTCATAGGGTGCACTTAGTGACGGGACCGGGGCTGCGTCGATTGCCGGGCTACGAACAGTGTATGAGAAAAAAGAAGAGATCAATTCGAGGTCTAGGGCTCTGTCTTAGTCGGCCTCAGCGAAGTCCGCTTGAAGGAAACACGGCCGCATCAGAAGCCTCCCCGTCAGCATCCAGGCCCACAAATCTCTGCCAACTCCAATTCTCCCTCTGCGCCCTTGCAGTCCAGTCCAGGTTGCGACTTCCCCGGGTTCCGTGGGCAATCCAATCTTCCATCCTTGACTCGGTCTCGTCCCATCTGAAGACCTTGATAATACTACAGTCGCATTTTGACGTGACGCACACTGAGAACATTTCTATAGAGGGTGCAAGGGGAGGTCGAGTGGACAGGCCAAAAGAAGCAAAACAACGATGAAATTGGTCATCTGGGACATCGTAACTTGATGGCAGCAGGGAAAGAGAAGATACTCGATCTTAAGGAAGAGTGCATTAAGAAAATGTCCCGAAGTCCATTAAGCATGGCAGCGAGCACAATGCTCAGCGTTGCCATAGTGTACCATGTGCGTATGAACCATCCTCTCATGTATTCGAAGGTGGTCCTTACGACTAAAGGATTTGTTGCAGTTTGGACCGGAACACTTGTACATGTTTCCGGAGACATGCTTGGACTTGATGTGTCGTATCAGAGACGATTCGCGGGAGAATGGGCGGGTGTATTTGCAGCCCTGCCAGCCGCACATAAGCGAGCTAGCGCAATTCCTAACAATGACAGCCAAGTTAGACTGGACAACAGAGTACGAAATAGAAGTATGTAGACCTTACTCCACAATGGTTGCTTGGCATCGACCACGGCGCATTTGAGCCTCGCTAGTAGTGATGTCTTTGAACCTGTTGACCGGCAACTGCTCTGTAGAGTTGAGGGGAAAGAGACCTGACGGCGTGTCGTTGATTGCTAGTGGACCATGATGGTTTGTTTGTCGCAAAAACTCAGTTTCACCTGCCTCAGCAGGGGAAGAATTTGAAGAGTTGTCGTTCATCATCAAGATACTAGGATCTTGAGTCAACATAGAAGGGGCTATGATGTTCGATCCTAATAGCTCAGGCGGCGATGGAATATATCCATTGTACGGGTTATTGTCCATCGCCGAGAATATATTCTCGGGGATAAGCAAAGGCGAAGTCGCATGCATAGCAGAGCCGTGGATGTGTATGGAAGGTATTATGTCCTGGTCGTCCTCGTCAGACCGGAAACCCATAGAATTCAAGCCAAAGTTGTTGTTCGACTGAGGGGGAGGAGGCATCGCGTAGACAAATGGGTACAGCTAGGAAGAAGCGCCTTGGTATGGAAGTAGGGAGACTAACGAAGAGATTGTTGATTGAGACGCAATCCATCATGACTGAGAATGAGCGAGATGAGTCCTTATATATTCCAGAGTCAAGCTCGATGAGATCGAGCGCCACAGAGCCCAAACGTCAAACCCCCATGAACATTTTGGTCACAGCTATACAGAAGCCGCAAGATGCAGAGCCAAATTTGTTGGATTAGAATCATAGGATAATAATCAGACCCACCAAGGGAAAATAATCGCTTTATTATTTTTTTTGATTGAATTTTCTTTTCGTACCGTAATCATAAGACCGATAGAACCAATGGCAAACTTGAAATCGCCCTGATCTCCGACCAGTATCGTCATCTTTTCGCACGGGGAATCCCACGGCGGTCTTCCGGCCAGTTAGCGGCTGTGGAATCGCTGCCCCGTACTGACCGGGTTCACGAGCTGACCGCATATTATAACATTGTTGCTGAAGGCGAATACATACATCATAGTCAACCGTCAAATACTTTGGTATCCTACCGGCCCCGCAGATCCGGTCAGCCGAAGCTCCGGTCAGAAAAACCCAAAAAATTTTTTTTTTTTCGATACTTTCCCGATTTTGTCTAGCGGACAAGTGATGGATCCTGAGCACCGGGCCCCCGGGGAACAGCAGGAGCCGGTTTCCCAGGGCGCTAAACCATGCGTCTTAGTTAAAGATGATCGGCGCGGCCCTTTCTTCCAGTGGTCTGGTTTTAGTGTGGCTTAGTGGGATGATAGATCTCGCATGACTTCTCCTTAATTAAAAAAAAACCCGGGGGAGGAAAAGAGCCTTCTTTCATCGTCATCAGACTACTGCGACCCCCGAGCCACGATCTGCCCCGCCACTAACTAGGGAATTTTGGAATGTATTAAGAGAGGCCAGGGCCGTGCTAACGTAATTCACAAGACTCGCTTGCATGGCCCCACTCGGGGTGTATGGCTGACATGTAGTCTTAACATACCCATTTTCTTTCAGAAAAATGGGCGCCATGCTGTAAATAATCGCTTGATCAGCACGTATACCTTTGGAACCGCGTATATCAGGATGTGGGGGAGACTCACGTGAAGAATGGGTGGGGGGAGAGGAGACTGTGCGTGGAAGGAAGAGAGTCCAGTATCTGGGTTACCAGATTCCAAGAGTCACATGATACAGAGGCTAAACCAAAAATGGTTAGATAGCGCCAAGGCTGGCCCGAGACCGTTCAAAGGCCGGGAGTGACCTGCACACTGATTGGGTGACTGCCTCACGTTCCGCGTAACTTACCCCTCTTTGTCTCTGTTGAGACCACATCGCAGTCATGTGACACTCCCTCTACAAGAGCCGTGTAGATAGTCAGTTCAAATAGCCTCATTACTTCCTACTTTTAGACATCACTCAATCAATCATTTGCACTCTTTCATTTCACCCCCAGAGCGCCAGTATTCAGCCCTCAAGAGGTTATGAGCCCGGGTCTCGTCTAGTCCACTATCTCACGATAGTTTCCAGGGCCCACGATCCCAGACCTCGCTGGCGCTCTGTTGTTTTTCTGTTCGCAAGAAAAACTTCTTCTTCCCAAGAACTGCTCGTCTCACAGCCACATCACTAGATGACTTAGGCTTCTCATAGTCTGTACAAGTCTTCTTCAGGCCTACATCTAGGCCTCCTCTCTTTTCCAGGATCACTAGGCGACTAACGCTCTCTACAGACCTCGCCGTCGCGATCCTAGACAAACCCTCGATTTCCTCTTCGACAAAATATACACGTCCCTTCCCCTACGGATCACGAAACTACGCTATCATTATGTCGTTTGACAAGGACTTCAAACCTTCCCTAGATGTGGCGAAGCCAACTTCCAAACCTAGCATTTTCAACTCGAATGTGCTATTGCTATCTTCTATAGCATGCTTGGGATGTTCTTAGGGGAAAGATCACCGTTAAGGACCCTAGACATACTCCTAATAAGCCTATGCTTAGGGACCTCATTGCTAGAGTTCTATACGAAGATGAAGCCGAAGCTACTTACGAAAATTGTAAGCGGCAAATCACCTCCGCCTAGCTCAATAGCTACGTAGATACTAATTATACTAAGCCCCGGGCTGTATATGGGAACTTCCGCTAGGTGAATATCAAGCTCCGCATCTTCCTTATCTCTACGCTTGATCGTTAGGCATAATAGACGATCTAGGGCACTTCTACTTGCTAGGAAGCCTACTAGCGCCTAGTCTCCTTCTATAGCTAGGTTTCTAACGAAACGAAGTACAGGACTTCCGCCCTCCAACCAGTGCGATGCCCTATCTGTAAGTCCAAAACCTGTCACGTGGGCGCTAGGCGCCAGCCCGGCTGCACTATCTACGTGGAGAAAAAGCGCCTATGGCTCTCGTTCTTTCAAATGGCAGGACTTTCGTCGGCAGCGAGCGTTATCGCAGTAGTTCAACTGACAGGGAGCCTTGTGAAGATTTGCGGCGGCTACATTCAGGAGGTGAAGGATGCACGAGACGATATCATTTCCTTACAGCGGGCAATTACAGGCCTTCAGGGTATTCTCGAAGGACCTCCAGAAATTCCTTCAAAGCCACGACGACAAGACCCTTTCTACCACGCGGCTAGTTGGTAATATTACCGATTGTCTCGCCGACCTCCGAGCCTTAGAAGTGAAAATCGACCCGGGGAGGGGAAAGAAACTAATGAGAAGAGTGGGATTTCGAGCCTTGAAGTGGCCCCTGAACCGTGCGGAGGTGGAGCGGGTTGTTCAGAATCTCGAGAGATACAAATCTACATTCATCTTATCGTTGCAGGTTTGTCAGAAATAATTTCCTTAATTCCTGCTCTTATTTCACTGGCAAGCCACCTCCATAGAGTTGGGTCGTAACCCTAGAACTACCCAATTTGGCCAGATTGATCCTCCTCATTGAGAACAGCTGGTACTGTATCTATCGAGGAGCAGTGGGCTTGATAACTTCTCCAGAAAGTGGGACATTATGCACACTTCACTGGTATCTTGTTTCTTGTTGAAAATGCGCATTCCGGATCCACACTGACGGATTAATATATGAAGCTGTATTCTAGGAGCACGGCAGCGGAAGTCAACTGCTGAATCTAGAAGAGAGAATTGGCAGTTGCCGAACAGGGATCTATACAATGAATTGCACTGGACAGCTATAATATCAACATACATTGGTGATTTATCGATTCTAGTAGTTGCGTTTTATAGGGGTGGGCTTACTTTAGCCGCTCATCTCATCCCCGTGGTCAGGTCGTGCTCAGCGAGCATCTCAGGGCGATCAGTGAGTGGATCAGGCAGCTTAGGCGAACAGTCAGGCGATGCTCTGAGAGGTTCCGTGTGCTTATATAATTATCAGTGAGGCTGCTCTGAGAGTGCTCAGTTTTACTCACTGAGCGAGAGCTGAGCACTAAAACGGAAAGAACAAACTAAAGAAGTGGCAGACATTATCCGTCCTATGCGGAATTAACGAAGTGGGGGTTCTCGGGTTACCAGCGATCGATTTCTCGATCCTGAAGCAGTGGTCCACGATATCGGAATAGCGACGAACCAATCAACGATAGAGGAAACGATTTTGAGCCCTTGCCTAATACGGTAATTTTTCGGCGAGTGAAATACCGGCCTTTGCCATCAACACTTAGCGGCCGTCGAGTGATCATCGAGATCATCTGGCCACTTACGTGGATAATGGAGACACCCGGGAAGGCTATGGTGCCCAAAGACATCCTATTCCATGGTGAGCACTTATAAGATAAGAGTCGAGAGGTTCCTACTCCTTTCCACTGTGAATGATACTACTCTGCCCGCCAACATAATGTACGGTCACAACTTTTGCGAGCTCATTGCAGTCTTCTGCCTGGTGACCTTGATTTTGTATCCATTATTCGTTTACCTTCAAGATCCAAAAAAACTACGTCGCTTCCCTAGCGTGGGACTCGCAGCGTTTACCAATGCGTGGGCTGTTGTTCATCAGTATCGGCATACCCGCACCATTACTATCCACCGTGCCCACAAGCAATACGGCGATATTGTCCGTGTCGGTCCAACTCATGTCAGTTTCGCAACTACTCAGGCGATCAAGGACATCTATGGACACGGATCACCCGCAACCAAGGACACCTTCTACGATTCTTTTAATTCGACGCACCTGAACGTTTCAGACTCTCGAGATCGGGCCATCCACAGCACCAAGCGCCGGAGATTTGCCCAGACATTTGCACAGAAAAGTGTAGTGGAGCTGGAGGATATAATGCAATCCCACCTGGAGGGCATGATCAAGTACATCGATCATCGCTTGGCTGGTTCCGAGAAGCCTCAAATTCTGGATATGAAGTTCGTCAACCTCGCCATCCTCTTCGATTCGAATTTTGCAGCTCTTTTCAGTCACAACCCGAGATTCTTGGAGCGAGATACGCTTGTTGCTCCTGCCGAGACTATCACAGGAGAGAAATACGAGGCGGATCTTTATCAGGGGCTGGTCCAGTCCGCCTATGCCGTGGTGATGGCTGGCTGGGCTTCCGAATCCATGAAATGGGTCAAGAATTTGACTTGGTGGCATCAAGGATGGAAGCTTGGAGGGCAGGTTCGCGATATCGCCATCCATCTTCTTCGGAAACGACTTGCAACGGACGTTGAGCGCATCAAAGCGAATCAAAGCCCACTCAATGACCTTGTTTCCACATTGCTATGGGACAAAGATTCGAATGCACTCTGCCTAGAGTTTGGCGAGATCCTGAGCGAATCCGTTAATCTCATTGGGGCCACCGAAAACACGGAAATTGCCTTGACGAATACTGTTTACTTTCTGGCTCGTTATCCGGGAGCTGCGGCTAAGCTGTACGAAGAACTTGAGAGAGCACTGCAAGGAAGTAAGGAGGATGTGCCCATATATGAAGCTGTCAAGGATCTACCCTATCTCAGGGCTTGTATTGATGAGAGTCTACGACTCCGACCATCCCTCGAGGC